GATGTGGAAGGGTGCAGCCCACTGTGGGCGTTGCCCTCTCTGGGCAGGTGGTCCTGGACTGTTTAAGAAAGTGGATAAGAGCACTGGCTGCTCTTCCAGAGGACCTGAGTTCAATTCCCAGCAACCACATGGTGGCTCACAACCATCTGTAGTGGGATCTGGTGCCCTCTTTTGGCATGCAAGTGTACATGCAGGCAGAACACTATACATAATAAATAAACCTAAGGAAGAAAGAAAAGAAAGGAAGGAAGGAAGGAAGGAGGAAAGGAGGAAGGGAGGACAGGAGGCAGGAAGGACTAAACAAACCATGGAAAGCAAGCCAGTAAGCAGTGTTCTTCCATGGTTCTTCAGTTCCTGCCTCCAGGTTCCTGCTTTGAGTTCCTGCCTTGGCTTTCTTGGATGGTGTACTATAATCTATAAGTGAAACAAACACTTTCCTCTGCAAGTTGCTTTGGGTCCAAATGCTTTATCACAACAGAGACACACTGTAACACACACACACACACATAAATAAATGTAATTTTGAAAGTCATATACATATGGAAGACAAAAGCAAGTAGGGCTAGCTATGGTTGTCTCTGATAATGTAGTCTCCAAGCCAAAATTAGTCCGCAGAGATACATGAAGGAACATCTCACAGAGGTTAGGAAGATGGAAGATAGCAGCCTCCATGTGCCCGACTCTGCAGCAGGTAACCCAGAGAGGAAACAGCTTTCAGAAAAGGCAAGTACCATGAGAATCTGCACTTAAACAGCAAAATACACAACAACAGGAAAGACTCCAGTCTGTCCTAGAGGGACTGGAAGGTTCTGGGGAGCTCTCCTTTCCCAGTGAGTGCGCTCATAGCTTAAGAGCTCCTCAGAAAATTGGCACTCTGTTCTTGGTGATGTATTTCAAAGAGAGCGGTAAAGGTGGGAGGGGAGAAAAATCACATCAGTGATGGAGAGGGAGGAGATGCTGGGAAACCCTTCTGTTCAACTCCCAGAGCAGTGGTGAGATGCCATTTTTTTAAAAGACCCCTCAAGAGCCAGGGAGATGCTTCAGTTGGCAAAGTGTTTGCAGAAAAAGCAACAAGACGTGAGTTTGCATCCCTAACACTCAAGTAAGAAGCCAGGTGCAGTGGCATACTCCTGAATCCCCGTGTTAGGTGGAGACAGGAGGATCCCTGGGAACAGCTGGCCAGCTGGCTTTGCCAGTGAGCTCCCCATTCAGGAACTGACCCTGTCTCTAGGACATGGCTAATTTGGTAAAGATGTCGCTGCCATGCCTGCTTCTCCAAATTTGATCCCCACAACCCACATGATGGTGGGAGAGAACCAGCTCCCAAAAGCTGTCTTCTGACCTCCACATGTGCCATGGCACACAGACAGACAGACAGACAGACATGCATGCATATACTACAAATACAAGACAAAAGAAGACCAGACCTCGAAAGATGTCAGCTAACTCCCAGGCACAGTCTGCTAGGATGTCCAGGGACTAACAGGAAGGTGGGTGTCAGCTCTCAGAAGAGCTGAGTGACCCCCTAGCATGTCTAGCTTCACTGGCAAAGCCACCTCTACAAAGCAGGAGACAGTGTCAGGTTCCATTTGGGAAGGTCTGACTTGGTGAGAAGAACTCCCACCTTGAGAGGCAGACACGGGAGCCATGGTGTGGTTGAAAACAGGCTCCCAAATCTGCATTGTGTTTTCAGTAAAGAGCATTTAAGCCAGGAGGTGGTGGCGCATGCTTTTGATAGTACACAGCACTCTGGAGGCAGAGGCAGGTGGATCTCTGTGTGTGAGGCCAGTTTGTCTATACGGTTGAGTTCCAGTACAGCCAAGGCTACACAGAGAAACCCTGTCTCAAAAAACAGCAAAAAAGCATTTTCAATTGCCTACAGATGGAGGCAGTAGTCCTGGGGGACAGAGGAGACACACCAAGACAACCCTCACCCTCATCCAGACTGGAGCAGCCGCAGGGAGCAGCTTTTAAAACATCACAACATCCCTGCTTAGCTGGCCAGTTGGCAGCTGCACCCTGGGAAACTCAGAGTTCAAGTGTATAATTACACTGAAAGCCTGCAGCAGAGCCATCTTCAAAAGAAGACTTCTAATCAATGTCTGTGGGATGGGAGGACTATCTGTCAATGACTTTTTCAATTTTTTTTCCCTCCAAGTTTTTTGTTAGCCAAAGTTTTCATTGTAGAGGTTTTTCACTCCCTTGTATTCCAAATATTTTGGTTCTTTTCCCTCAGTTTTGAATGTTTTGTTTGTTTTTTGTTTTGTTGTTTGTTTGTTTTGATTCAAGATGTCTTGTAACTCTGAACCTGAGGGGGAAAAAAAAACTAGGGAAAACTCTTAAAGATACAAACCTAAGAAAGAATGTTCTAAATGTAGGCACTGACATATACAACACAAACCTATAGACAAATTCCCATGGTGAATTTTTTTCCCATGGTGAATATTAATGCAAAAGTTATCAATAAAATACTTGCAAGTTTAGGGGCTGGAGAGGTGGCTCCGAGGACCTTGATTTAATTCTCAACATCTATGTGGGCTCTCACCATCTGTAACTCCAGTTCCAGGTGATGCAATGCCATTTTCTGGCCTCTATGGGGACCAGGCATCTACATGGTGTACAGACATACATGCAGGCAAAATACCCACGCACAAAAGAGAAAATAATTTTTGTTTTGTTTTTTCCAAATAGGGTTTCTCTGTGTAGCCCTAGTTGTCCTGGACGTCACTCTGTAGTCCAGGCTGGCCTTAAACTCAGAGATCCACCTGCCTCGGCCTCTCGAATGCTGGGATTGAAGGTGTGTACCACAACGCCCAGATTTATGGCCCTATTTTCAAAGGACATGACCCTATACTTAAAAGACGATAAAGACTCCAAGGGCCAGCAAGGTGGCTCAGCAGGTAAAGGCAGAATTCTTTCTTATAAAAATAAACTCTAGCTGGGCATGGTGGTGCATGCCTTTAATCCCAGCACTTGGGGGGCAGAGGCAGGTGGATCTCTGTGAGTTTGAGGCTAGCCTGGGCTACAGAGTGAGTTCCAGGAAAGGCGCAAAGCTACACAGAGAAACCCTGTCTCGAAAAAACAAAAAAATTAAAAATTAAAAAAAAAATGATTAAAAAAACGCAATCAACAAAGTAACAGGATACAAAACAAGCATATAAAAATAACATACATCAGTAATGAGCTTGTTGAGAAATAAGTCGGGGGAGGGGTTCCCTGTTCACGATAGCATCAACAAAATAAAATACACTTGACACAACCTCACCCCCCTTTCACGTCCCCCTTGCCCTCCGAGCCGAGCACTGAACCCAGGCCTTCCCTGTGCTTACTATGTCCTTCCACTAAGCTAAACCTCCAACCCACCCACCCCCATTTCAAAGGGAATAAGAAACAGGTTCTTCTGAAACCAAATATGAGTGACCATGATCCGGGAACACAGATTCAGGGTACCCTAAACAGCTGCTAGTTGTCACATGCTCCAGCCCTGGCTGGTCCTCTAGCTGTGACCCTGCTCAGCAGGCTTGCAAAAGGACTGGAGAGAAGAAGTGATGTTTCCTCCTCCTGAGGACTTTGTACAACCATCACCTCTCTTCCCCCACCTCCGTAGCCCAGGTCTGCTGCAGATTCCATACATGAGAGACTATACAGCATTCCCCTTTGGGTGCCTGTCTCAGCAATCCCGCCATGTTGATGGAATCCCTCCTCTTTCAAGGCTGAATAGTATTCCATTGTATATCTAGACCATCTTTTCTTCCCCACTCTTCTGTTGATGGACACTTATGTTGGCTCCATTTCTTCACTATTGTGAAAAGTGTTGTGATGAGCATGAGTGTGAACATCTCAGCCGGGCAAATCCCAGCACTAGGGAGGCAGAGGCAGGTGGATCTCTGTGAGTTCCAGGTCAGCCTGGTCTACAGAGTGAGTTCCAGGGCAGCCAGGACTGTTACACAGAGAAACCCTGTCTCCAAAAACAAAAAAACAAAACAAAAGCGTGGACATCTCTTTGACAACTGAGGTCAACTCTTATGGGAAAATACTAAAGTGGGATTACTAGACTGATGATAGTCTTTGGAAGCTGCTGAGGAGACCTTCTGGCTTCCACATCTTGCCTTAAATTGGTGACTGTCTGACCTGGTTTTTTTTCCTCTTCCACATAATAAAATCAATAATATCCATCAACAATGAATTAACTCGGTAGTTCTTTAAATCACCGCTTCCTGTCACAAACCAGAGTGACTCCTTCCAGCCACAGCCAACTCTAATTTCCCATAAGGCATTAGTATCCTTGCTACAGCACTTAAGTGTGATTTCACCACTTACCCCCAGTGACAGAGCCCTACTGCCTCCTGGCCAGTGTGCTCCGGTTCCAAAATCTCACTCACCCAGAGTCCATTTCTTAGACATACCAGCTCCATGTGTCTTAAGTAGTCCTTTGAAAGCAAGCTATGAAAGGAAAAGCTGTGTACAGGTGGTCTGTTAAGGAAACACTCCCAGGGAGACTGGAACCTGAGCAGGAGAAGCCAGAGAGGGAGGGGAGGCTGCGCGAGGGGATCGGATCGGCAGCTCAATCCCACAGGGAGCTTTGGAGTGTCAACCACACCTTGGGGTTTGTCCTGACTTGTTGCAAAGGAGCTGGCCTTTCATACTCCCACTCCACTGGGTCCCTGGCTAAGACCCATGGCAAGGTGGGTGGATGTTAGTTCCCAGGCATTTTTACCTCTTGGTGCCTATGGGCAAAGGGGCCTTGGTAGCCCCAACGCAGACCTTTGAAGGGAGTCTCTGGTGTGGACTGCTAAGACAAAAGCCAGAAAAATGGGTAGAGCCAACCACAAAAGGGGATCCAAGCTGCAGTGGAGGGGGGTTGGGACTCAGTGATAGGGCTTGTGCATAAGGCTCTGGATTCAGTCTCCCACACCACGAGCCGGGAGAGCCCGGAGGAGGACCCATTTCATTACCACATGCTCCTTTCTTCCCTCCTTAGCTGCCTCTCTCATCTCCAGTTGCAGGGGAGTCAGATGCAACCTAGTGAGTGGGAGGAAGAAGTACGGACGATGACGTGGACTGTTATCCCGATGGGCCGGCCGGGCACACTGTGGTAACCAGCAGCCGAGAGACCTCCACAGCTTGAAGCCTGTCCTTTGACCAGACCCCGTGTTCTTGCTCTCAGGGGGCCTATGCTCTGAGAGGGCAGGAGGAGTTGAACTTGGGAGAGCTACTGTCTCATCCTTCACTGGCTTGGAACACAGCCTCTTCCGAGGTTGCTCACTGGAAACGGGGCGGGGGTGAAGGGGGGACCACATGTTTGCTGTGCTGTGTGCTTCCACAAGGTGGGACAGTCACATGCCATCGGGCAGACTGACACTTTGCTCTGTCCAGTGACTAGAGGGGGATTCAAGTGGTATGTTTAGTTGAATATTGACCATCCATGCTTTCCTTAAAAAAAAAAAAAAAAAATCAACACAGCGATAGAACTCAGGGTCCCACACACACTAGGACAGCATTTCTCACACTGATCTTTCTCACACATAATAGGACAGCATCCTGTTGGTGAGCTATGTTCCCAGTCTGCTTTCCTTTCACACTACAGGTTTCTAAGTATAGTACAAGTTTGAACTGAGTGTGAAAAGTTTCGAATACACAGGTAAAATCTGGCAACTGGAATTGACTACCATCACTATCACAGTTTCATGACGCTTGGCTCTTTTAACATCTTTTGGGTTCAGTTATCCGCTGAAAATTTCAAATCATCTTGTGTTTCCTCAAGCCCAGTGAGTTTGTGGGAATCAGGCCACTCCAGTATCGAGGCCCCTATTGGTCCGCTTCTTTCCCATTCCTCCCACACTTCTATCCCTTCCCCTTATTCTCCCCATCTCCTCTCCCCTTCTCCTATTCTTTCTTCCCCCAGCCTGACCAGTTCTGATTCCTCTGCGGTCTGAGTCCAAGGGAAGTGGCTTCACCTGGACCCCTTCACTGTGCACTTGGGAGGTTCTGGGCTCATTGCCTCATGCTTGTAGCCCTGGAGACCTGTCAAAAGCCCAGCTCTGCATTTCTGTTGCTTCTTCTAGGCCTGGGAACCCATGAAGGGTGAACCACCCAACCCCTTCCTGAGGCCCCCATCCCTGCTTGAATCCTGGCCAGGCAGCCCTTCATTACTGTGTGGTCTCACATGCCTTCAAGTAGAATTGCTTATTTTACCCAGCTTTACTTTATTCTTTTCCAAGGTTAATTTTATCATTTATGTATGTATATGTGTGTATAGGCATGTGCACATGTGTGCAAGTGCCCACAGAGGCCAGTAGAGGGCATTGGATCCCTTGGAGCTGGAGCTACAAGCAGTTATAAGCTGCTTGATGTGGGTGCTGGGAATCAAACCCAGGTCCTCTGCAAGAGCAGCAAGTGCTTTTAGCCCCTGAGCCCCTTGCCCAGACTCTCTAATTGTCCTCAGTGCTAGTGCTGGTCTGGATGACCTTATCTACCATCACTGGGCACAGAAGTTCTGTCTTGATGGTTACTAGATGGACATCTTGTTAACCAGATCTAATGGACCCCTCGGGTACCACAGAGCTGAGGTGTGGTGTCTCTGCAGCCAGCATTTGAGGCTCTGCTGAAAAGTCTAATTGCCTTGAGACCCTGCAATCTTTCTTTCCTTCTAAAATCTCAAAGCTCTGTGGGCCGGTGCTCTCAATAGTCCCCCAGTCCTTCTTGGCCTATTCTTTGCCGCTCTTCTTGCAACTCTTGGGGTAAGGCTGTCTTGGCCTGACATTCTTGTTTGGCCCAAACTCTCTTTCTCGCTTAGCCTCATGCTTTTAAGCCATTTACTCCAGCCAGCCTTAGTGCTTGTCATTCTGGAATATACTGGTTTATCCTCCAAGACTGTGCCTCTTCTAGGGGATGTCCCCTGATTCTCCAGGGCAGCATCAGTCTGAACCAATGCTCTGTTTTCCAGTCCCGTCTCCCTGAGGGTGAGCATGCTGAAGACAGTGTCCAGGCATTGCTCATGCCGTATCTCCGGCACTGGGTGCGTTAAGAGGGGTCAATTAACGTAGGATGATCTCATTTCCCCAGGCCTCCACATCTCTTAATGCACTGGAGGGTTTTGTCAGTCACCTGAATTCTTGGAACCTCACTTTTCTAGCCTTTAATGGTTAGCATGCCAGGTGCCTACTTATTTGCACCACCCCCCAGACAGAAGCAATTGATGATGTGTCCATATCAACAGCAGTCGAGAGGCCTGTGCAGCACCATGGCCAAGGCCTGCCCTCTGCTGGTCACAAGATTTCCAGGGCAGCAGCGGCTCAGTACTAAGCAGAAGTGGACTCTTCATTCTTTTGTACCTTGTGAAGTCCTTTGGTATTCCACAACAAATATGAAGTCCTTTTCAAAGCAATATTTTAAAATATGCAATAATGAGGTATATCGATTATAAATAAAATCAATCATAATGAAAAACAGGTATCAAGGATTTGGAAAAACTGTAGCTACAGTTTGTAAATGATGGGAGTAACATGACAGATGCATGTACACTGTAAATTGGATCTAGCAGTACAGGCCTTGTCACTACAATGTAAAAATGAGGACGAGGGTGTATGGTGGAATGCCCATGACTCCTGCCTTTAATCCCAGCACTAGGGAGGCAGAGGCAGGCAGATTTCTGAGTTCAGCCTGGTCTACAGAGCGAGTTTCAGGACAGCCAGGGCTGTTACACAGAGAAACTCTGTCTCAAAAAACAAAACAACAATGCTGTGGGAAGATCTTTCTGTAGCCTGTGAATATGTATTGCTCTCACTGGTTGGTAATAAAGCTGTTTTGGCCTATGGTAAAGCAGGATAAGGTTAGGCAGAAGAATCAAACTAAGGACTCAGAGGAAGAGGGGCAGAGTCAGGAGAGACACAAGGAGAGGCTGGAGAGGCAAGATGCCAGAGAACCTGTAAGCCATGGACCACATGGCAATAAACAGATTAGTAGAAATGGATTAATTTAAATGTAAGAGTAGTTAATAATAAGCCTGAGCTATTGGACAAACATTTATATTTAATATAAGCCTCTGTGTGGTAATTTGGGAAGCGGCTGCTGGGTATTTGGAAACAGGTAGAACAGAAACTCCACTCCATTTACACAACAACAACAACAACAACAGAATGTTGGCTTGTCAGAGAGAATGCTTCTTTCCTCTCTCAACTTAAAGAAGAAACTGCAGAGTGTGACCTTCTGCCTGATGGAGGGGGCTCTTAACACTTAGAGAATAAACCCTTCCTTGCTAGGCAAACATGGGCAGCACGCCTGCTTTCCCACGCCAACCAGAAAGAAGGACAGTGCGTGCAAATTACCTTGTTATTTTATTAGAAGCATATTTACATTTTTTGTTTGCAGAGAACAGCTTACAAAACTTCTACATGACAGTTGGAAATGACGTACACGTTACATCTATCCTTCATGAAGGGAAATATAAGTTAGTTCTATTTACTCAGATAAAAACATTTCTGCCTGTCCCTATACAGAAAAGATTAGCACAGGACACGAGGAATACTGTGTAGGCCATGTCTGCAGCAGGCATTGCACATATGCTAAATGATGAGGTTGGAAGACTAGGCTAGACCCCGCTCAAAAAGGCACAGTAGAGCTACCAGGGCTCAGGTGGCACTAATTGTGGATGCAACAATCGGACAAAGGACAAGGACAGTGTGAATGATAAGTCGGGGAGTGATCAAAGACTTTACCCGAACCACAAAACTGGCATTTTGCCTGATGGCCACCGTCCCCTAGATGCAAAACAAGCAGGCTGTAAACAATGACAAGCGGCCCCGCCCACTTGCCGTCTCTGGGTCCTGCAGGTGCACTCTGCCAGTTCATGTTTCTCAGCCACTGTGCACCAGAGAGGACAACGTCAACTGTTCCTCACCACCCCTCGGTTCGAGACCTGAAGGCAAGCTGACGCTCACTCCCCTGAGAACTATCACCCTCCTGGACTCTGTGAGCTTCTTTACGGCACACGCGATCTGGGAGCCCTGAGACCTGTCTTCCTATTTTTCTAGCCCAATCCCTCCATAGCACCCGGTTATCATCTGGGGAAACTTTCCAGGGAATTGCCTCGGCACTGGGCAGCTGATGGAGACATCCTGCTGAGGTCTCAGCCGCCGACCAGACTCAAATGTCTGAGTCTTCAGCAGCAGCAGCAGCAGCATCACTGGGAACTGGCATCTTCCTGAGGCAGCCCGCCATTGACGGGTACTGTCACGGAGCACTTAGGCATGCATCAGAGTCAAGAAAGGTTTGCTTTATCAGTGAACGCAGGCTGGGTGGAAGAGCTGCTTTTCTGGGTAACGACACCTGGTAGCCTGTGGGACTTAGCATCTCAGGAGGCCACCTTTGCAAGCCAGAGGCCCAGAGGCTCAGCATCTTCGCTTCTGCATGTTCCTGAGGGCAGGAAGCATTTCCGGGGGAAGAGTGAAATCCAAGGGACCGCCAGGCTTAGTTGAAATGTACAGTAGGACTCCAGAACAGGACTAGGGCCAAGGGCAAGAGCCTTCCCAGGGTACCCGCAGACAAGTGGGCAAGGGTGAGACTGGCATGTGCTAGGCAGCAGAAGTTGGCTGTGGAGGGGAGTTTACCCTGAACATAGGATCCTGCGTGCAGCCAAATGAGTTGCAGGCTGGCAGTACAGCGTGTGCCTTCTCTGGGTCCTGGTGCCAGCACTCAGCATGTCCCCACCAGCTGCTCCACCTGACGTGCTCAGTGGCCCAGGATCAGGCTCAGGAAGCAGCAAGCAGGTTCCATAGAAGGCCAGGTCAGAGGCAGCCAGGGCGGTGTCAGGAGGGGAAGTCTGTGTGTGTGTGTGTGTGTGTGTGTGTGTGTGTGTGTGTGTGTGAGAGAGAGAGAGAGAGAGAGAGAGAGAGAGAGAGAGAGAGAGAGAGAGAGAGAGAGAACGTATGTGCACAGGGAGACAGAAATGAGATGGGATAAAATGCCAGGAGCCAGCAGGATGAACATTTCTGGCCTCCTTCCCCCCACATGCACAGTCATCAAGCACAGAGTAAGCTGGGGGAAGCAGGGCATGAGGAGACCCCTGAGAGCTGACTGCTGAGAACTGAGTGGCTGTTAGGGGCTGTTAGGAATGTTTTCCGACACTGTGGGGAACTGCAAAAAAAAAAAAAAAAAACCCACAAGGATTTCAATAAGGACGAGTTCGCGGTGATGTCATTGGTAGCGCTTGTGCCCACACACAGTAGCGCTGGTGTTTTGGCAAACAGGAGGGAGGGTACACCCATCATGCCCCCTGACCCCAACAGCCCAAATCACTTCCAGGTGATGGGAAACTGAGTCCTGTCGAAGTCATCCACCAGAAGCATCAGGGTGGCTCCGTGGACAACAAGGCACTACAGGCTGAGGGGCTGGTTCGAGCTGGCACAGAAGCAAGAGGAAGAGGTCCTGAGTCACTTGTTCATAGAACCTTGGAGACCCCAGAGGCCAGGCTGCCACGTTGCCCACCACAGCCCAGGGACGGGCTGTAAGGGCTGTTAGGAAGCATCCCCAGGGCTATAGGGGAAGAACTTGCTGGCTCTGTTGGGTGTAGTGGGTCTGGGCTCCGCCTCCTCGCTTAATTTGAAGAACATTTCCTGCTCCCGCTTCTTCTGGTTCAAATCCTCTTCCAGGGCCTGGAGAAGAGAGAGCAGATGGTACTCAGTGAGATGCCAAGGATGCCAATCATTCCAATCATAGAACAGCATGGCCTTCTCTAGACAGCTCTCACCCAAGCTCCAGGGAATGGGTGCAAGGTCCATCCTTCCTCACCCCTTGCCAGGTGCCCTGTGAACTGCTCAGTGTGAACAGACCCAGTGTAAACCCTGAGGAAACACCTGTTAAGAAGCGGTCAGGGAGCCTGGCAGTGGTGGCGCACACCTTTAATCCCAGCACTTGGGAGGCACAGGCAGGCGGATCTCTGTGAGTTCAAGGCCAGCCTGGTCTACAGAGTGAGTTTCAGGACAGCCAGGACTGTTACACAAAGAAACCTTGTCTCGAAAAACAAAACAAAACAAAACAAAACGGGGGGAGGGGTCAGGGGCACAGACTGGGCTCTCCTGGGTGGAAAAGAGCCAAATGCATAAAGAAAAACCAGGGGGGAGGATCTAACAGCAAGAGAGTCAGAGATGGCAGACTGACACCACACTCCTTATCAGGACACTGCCCGCTGGGAAGACAGGCCCCTCTGAGGGTCTGATCCTAGAGATATGTGGGGGGTAAGCTCCTCAGGCCGTGGGAGGCAGGACAGGTGCTTCCTTTGGGCAAATGCTCATTTCTCCAGATAAATCAGATCCTACCAGAAAAGACTTCCCAAAGGTGCTCAATGCGAGCACCAGCTCAGAAAGAAGAGAGAGAGGCAGTGGAGAGCACAGACCAGACAACCTGTCACAAACTGGATTTATGAAAATCTTCACTTAAAGGCTGGCAATTTAAAAAAAAAAAATGGCTCAACGTTATGCAATGCATTTGAAAACCACACAGCCCAGGGGGCCAGTATGTGACCCCTGGTGGAGGGAATCACGAACAGTTCTACTTCTGTGTAGACACAGGATGGTTTAGCACATCACCTAAAGCTAGGAATAGATGAGCATCCCCACTCCAAAAGTCCATCGTGTTCTAAAATCTGAAAACTTTGAAGTTCTAGTTTGATGCCACAGAGAAAAAAGTCCCACTTCTGACTTCCCAGGATGGGTGGTGATCAAAAGGTAGGAATGCCAAAAATACCTTCTAGCTGTGTGCAAGGACTTGGGAGACCCAGCTGAGTTTATCAAGACTCGGGTCTTGCTATGATGTGAGTGTGAAATGTCAGCAGAGGCTGTGTGACTGAATACTCAGCCCCCAAGCTGGGGTGGAACAAATGGCTGTCGAAGCGAGGGCCACGGGTGAGGGGGACTGAAGGGGTGTAGTTCAGCCCTGCTTCCCGCCATCTGCCTCCAATGTAACCAGTGCCTTAAAGTCCAGTGCAGCCAAAATAAACCTGTCCGGTGTTCTACCACAAGACAAGAGAAGTAACCAACGTGGTCTTGTCCCCAGACATCTCATTATACATATGCAAATATTCCAAACTTGGAGAAGGATCTGAAACCCCAAACCACGCATCGGCTGAAGCGCTGAGGGACCGAAGCCTGCAACTCAAGCCCTGCCTGCCTTCTACCCACCAACAAGCATTCTTCGGCAAAGCCTTCGAAGGCCACAGGCAGCAGCCTGTCTCCTGCTGTGTGCCAGGTGGTAAACATTTAAGCTGAATTTTTTTTGAGAATGTCATACATGAGTACTGTATTCACCTCATTTCTTCCATCTCCCCCATGAGTCCCCCTCTTGCTCTCAAATCCATGACCTCTTCTTCTTTGTTACTGTTGCTAAATATATACAGACTCAGAGCTGCATATAGCCGGCTGAGTCCATTTACTGTGGCTCATATGGATACGTGTTAGAGGTGACTGCTTGGGGTTGCTAACTTCTCAGGGGGCTCATCCTTGGAGAAGACTGATTCTTCTCTCGGCAGCCATTTAGTTACCTCTAACTCTTCACCTAGAGGGGGGCAACGAGAGATTTCCGCACCCATGTTGTCAACCAGTGTTGTCACTGTGCAGGGCCTCATTCAGGTGATACTGGTTCATGGGGGCAGTGTCCCTGTCCTATGAGGGAGACACTATGCTTCGCAGACCAGAGTTTCTGCAGCAATGCAAAGTCACCCCTGCAGAAGGCCAGTGAGTGAGGGGCTTTCTAATCACCCTTATTTACCAAGGGGTAGTCGGGCAGACTTAGCCCACAGGCAGCCGCGGACTGGACAGTCGTTTCTACAGACACACTTGAAAATGCAGATAACATGCCTGCGTTTTACAGTCTAAAAAGGCAAGTCGAGGAGGGAGAGCCTGAGGCCCCACTCTGTCCTCACTGTGACCCCACCAAATCAGGAAGTCTGTGCTCACTTAAGAGGAAGTCATCTGAATTCTTCTAAAAATACTCCACAGGACATGATACAAGGGGAGGGCAGTGCTCAGGGCTGCTGAACGTAATGCAAGGACACAGAGGACCATTACCCCTGACCCTGCGCCACCATACCAGCAGCCACTTAGGCATCTGTGACCGAATCCTGCCCCGAGGCGGTCCCACAGGCAGAGCGCAGGGCCAGCCCACCAAGCACACGCGTTTGGTGCTTCCAGCAGCCCACGAGACCATCTAAGATCAAGGCAGCTGCTGGGAGAAATGACTGCTCGTTTTCACTATGTGCCCCGGGGAAACAGATGCCCAGAGCTGGACAGGTAGATTCAAGTTTACTCCCGGATGCAGAGCCAGCAGGAACACTGGTTACCTGTGGGTTTAGTGTCAGAAGTCCCAACAGGTCTCAGCCTGCCTCCAGTCCAGGTACTCAGTGGCTAAAAACTCCTCAGGACATCAGGCCATGTGGGGCACAAGGTCAAGGGTAACAGGGGCAGCTCTCTCCTCAATGTCTAAGAACACTATGCCTTTGACACGTGCTGTGGGCTAATGACTCTAAATGGCCCTACAATCTTATCTCCACCATGACCTCACTCAGGCCTGCGGTGCCTAGCTGCAACAAAATGCCTGTCAAAGGCAATTAAAGGAAGCGTCTGTTTTGGTCCACAGTTTGAGGTACAGCCCATCCTGGGAAGGCCAGATGACAGGAGCATGAGGCACCTGACCACACTGCATGTACGGTGGGGATCCTGTCAAAACTTCAATGACCTAGGAAGGGTTTCTTCCCCACAGCTAAGGGCCCAGTTCAGCCTGACTCCAGCCTTGTGAGACCCTGGAGATGCCCTGGAGAGACCCTCAACTTTCCAACCCTATTACTGCAGAGTTTCATGAAGAATGCGGCTTAAGCTGCTAAGGATATAGCTGCTTGCTTGCTTTGGTGCTGGGGACGGGACCCAGAGCATCGCACATGCTAGGCAGGTGCTCTGTCCCTGAGCTCCACACTAGCCCGAGCACACTGACTGACACATTAGGAAACCAATTCAGAAAGTAAACTAGCGGGTCCTGGCCTTTGACCTCAGAGTGACTTCCTGAGAGAAACTCCTCACAAACAGGGCTCCCAGCCTGACAGCATGACTGACTGCCTGCTGCTCAGGGTAGGTCACAGGGCAGGGGTCCTCTGCCTCAGGTGCATAGGGACCAGTGCGGGAGGAGGCTGCTCTCCCAGGATGCAGAGAGCCGCCAGGGCCCAGCACAAGTAGATGGGTCCTGTCTCTCAGGGACAGACCAATTTTAGGGATGCCACGAGGCAAGGGTCCAGAAGTAGGGAGGCTTCAGCTGCCCTAGGCAGGTCCCTGTGCCATGGCACCCACCAGCCAATTGCCGTACCTTCTTGCGTGGCCGCAACTTGTCCCGCCACTCCTTCAAGCTCTGGTTATGGCTCTCATCCAGGGCCTTCAGCTTCTGGGTTTCATGCTCTACCAATAGGTGACACTTTTCATTCTGGAATAGGCAGAAAAGGAGAGGAAGTGAGGAGGCAGAAGCCTGGGGAACCAGACCCCCTGCACCCTCGAGGGCACTGCAGCCACCATGGGCTTTTTATGCCTTTGCCATTATCCACAACTCTGCATGTAGTAATATACTTGCACCCAGCAATGCCTAGAGGGCTATTCCAGAACATTAACGGTAACAGTTCTGAGTGGGTAAATTTACAGCCTTTTTGCAACTTTCTTCTGTGTGTGTTTTTTAAGATTGTGTGGTGTGTGTGTGTGTGTGTGTGTGTGTATGTGTGTGTGTGTGTGTGTCAAGTGTGCATGAGTGGGCATTCATGCCATGGTGTACCCATGGAGCCAAAGAACAACCATGGAGTCAGTTCTCATCTTCCATCCTTGCATGGGTTCTGGGGACCAAACTTAGACTGCTGGGCCTGTGCAGCAAGACTTTGGTCACTGAGACATCCTGCCTCCCCTTCTGTGGACCACTGACCTTGTCTAAGTTGTCTGGGTTTTTGTTGTTTTGTTTTGTTTAAGTTTTGGGCTGGTAATATGGCTCAGTGGGCAAAGCACCATAAACCTGACAATCAATCCCCAGAACCCACTCCGGAAGGACGACAGAACTCCCAGAAGTGGTCCTCCAAACCACACAGGTGTGCCAAGGCACACCTATATACAAACACGTAATAAATGAATAAATAAACTAAAGCCTACAACTCCTGGTCCGAAGCCATCCTCTTGCTGACGCTTTTCAAGCAGCAGGGCTATAGGTGTGTACCACTGCATCCAGCTACAGTATAACTGTGCACTGTGTCTAGTTACATGTTGGATGACATGTGTAACTAATATCTCTTGCCTTGTGTCATTTCCTCAGGAGAGAAATGACATTTCCTCATCCCTGGCAAGGAACGAGGCTGAGGCTCTCCCCATCTCCACAGCATGCTCTGAGGTAAGTCGACTGCTTTATCAATTTTACCTGAAGTCTATCTGGTAGACAGGAGTGAGGCCCCTGCTGACTGCAAGGACTCAGCTCTGTTAAAGGACCGTCTAAGAAAGGATAAGGCCTTTATCTGACCCTTCAGGCTGGGAAAGGAGTGACCTTCAGAAGGGCTTTATTTTGGGCCTCAAGCTGAAAGCTTCTGGGAGTTTACAAACTAGTCTAGTCAGGAATCTGGAAGCAGCCCTGTGTTCCTGTGAACAACTGTGTGTGGCATGTCAATTTATGTGGGTCTCACATAATGCCATGGGAGAGGAATGCAAGTGCTTGACTAACACCCACATGGAAGAGTCCCTGCCTGGCAGCCTCCGAGGCTGGCCATTTCTTGGGAGCCTCCCTGCCTCTCCACAAATGTCCACGTGGGCCCGATGGCCTGAGCAACTTCCTGAAGTCCATTGAGGCTGGAGTCAGGGCCTCATTTGTTAAGTACAACAATGCCTCACTCCACCACAAGGGGGCCCCCAAGCACCAGTTCCTGGAACTGGGCCTTCAGGGGCTCGGCCGCTGATGTCCAGACAGGGGTGCTAGCTGTCGGGTTCTGATGGACAAACATCTCCTGCTTGTTGACATACCTGATGCATGGGGCCAAACTAGGAGCAGGGCCACCCCAAGCCAGGATTCCCACACAAGCAAAGAAACCGTGCCCCATGGCAGCTCAGGCCCCGGAGTGCAAGTCCCTTTCAGCTCCGTCGCCCCCTTCACAAACCCACACACCAATCCTGCCGAACAGGAGTCGTCACCTCCACCCTATGGCCCTTCCAGTGGAAGTTTGTCTAGGAGGGTCGGACGTAGGTGTAACGTACGTACGTAGCCTGAGAGCAGCTTGGCAGGCTGCAATCAGCTCCCTGGGCTTGCCTGGCTAGCGTGTCGCCCTGCTGTGGAGCCGCTGGCCTCTGAGCACCGACAGCCTTGGGGGAGCCGAAGCGCTGGGCTGAGTACCTGCAGCTGCTGCAGCTCGCTCATGTTGCTCTCGCACTGGGCCACCATGTCTCGCATCTGGTTCTCGTGTTTCTGCTGCTGCTGCAGCCTCTCCGCCTTCTGCCTCTTCTCCTCCTGCTGGGAGAACTGCAGAGAGAGGATGCTACTCAGCCTGAGCCGGGCGAGGCCCCGTCCCAGGAGCTGAGCAGCAGCGCTCAGAGCCCAGCCCACCTCAGGTTATGCTCTCACTGTTGAAACCCTTGTCCTGTGTGGAGACCCAGCCTCTGTCCCCACACCGGTAGGGGCCTGACAAGGCGAGGTGACATGTGCTAGGACGGTATGCACAGAAATCACAGGGGCCTGTGTCACACAGGAGACATGGAAGGAGGGTCTCGGTGGGTGAGAACACAGAACGCCGTGAACGTCAAAGTGTGGGATCAGGAAAGGGGGCAGTGCATGAGAAACTATCAAACAAGGATCTGTCTGTCCTCCAGGGGAGGACTCTCCTGGGCTATGGAAGCTTCCAGGCCATAACTGACTTACACATCCCCTCCCAGGACCCTGTGCCGCATCTGGTATCTGACATCCTCCCATGCTGTCGGGGGTTCGGGCCTGACTAAGACCCTCCCAGACCACTTCCCACAGCCCTAGCAGGCTCAGTGCCCACCTGCTTGATCTTCTCGCGCTGCTCGGAGGCGCTGCCTGCCCCGTTGATGTGCAGGCTCTTCTTGTACATGGCCATGCGCGTCTTGCCGTCGCTCCTCTGGATCTTGGGCAGCCGCGCCTTCTCCTGCTGCTGCCTGACCTTCAGCTGCTCCATCATCCGCTGGTTGTAGCGCTGCATCTGCTCCCGTTCCTGGAGGGACACCGGGCGGAGGTCAGGGGAGCTACAGACACGGAGGGTGCTCGGGAGCCGAAGGCCACCCCGACACAGGAGCCCAGGGCGTCAGTATGGCACAGCTGTTGGTTCACGTCTGCAAACAGTATCTGTTCTTTGAAACTCTTTCCTCCTACATTTTCCGATTTTATTGGGGCGGGGAGGGGTAAGCATGAGCACAGCACGCGGAAGACAAGTCTGGGGATCAGTTCCCTTTTTCCACTCTGCGGGTTCTGGGAACTGAACTCAGGTCATCAGGCTTGGTGGCAAGCTCCCATATCCACGAAGTCACTTCACTAGCCCTGCTTTTTTGTTCTTTAATGTCAGAGTTATCTCCCACAGCCGACAGTTTGACTCACAGCCTTCTGACTTCACAGTGGCGTGAAAACACGGTGACTCAGCTGAGCCCACACTTTGAATTTGGATCTTTTCCTGGGCGAACAAAATCTAGTTCAGTATTCTGGATACTGGGCAGTGGCAACAAGCCACAGCTCTGGTTGGCCACACGCTCCTGAGGGTAAATACCTTACACTGGCCTGCCCCAGAGCTAGGCTATTAAAGTAGGAGCCCGAAGGGCAGGCGGCTGGCTGAGGGGCATTTGTATTGTTATTTTCAATTTAGGAATGGTGTTGGGGACAGAAACCCCCAACAAGTCAAGAAGTATCACCTCTTTCTCTTTTCTTTTTTTTTTTTTCCTTAGGGGGTGGAGCACAGTTCAAGTAGGCCAGGCTGGCTTTGAACCTAGAGAGAGCCAAGCCCTGAGGTGTTGGGGTGGGCAATGGAGCTGCCTGCACCGTCCGTGGCCCCCAAAGTTTCCTTGATTCCTGTCCCTTAAGCAGGGTGCCCAGAAGGTCTCAGGCCCTCCCTGTGGCTGCAGCAGCCCCTCCTGGGTGCCGTCATCAAGCTGTCCCGCATCCCGCTCCAGCCTCACCTTCTCATGCTTGCGCAACAGTTCATGCCGCTGCAGGAAGTACTGGTCCTTAAGTTGCTGCTTCACCAGCTGATGCCGCTCCTGCAACTGGTGCTCCTCCATCTCCCACAGGGCCGCCTCACGGTCTGCGGAGGACACCACACCCACACGGTGAGGGGCAGACAAGGCCGGACACAGAGCAGGTCTCCCACGCCCTCCCCCTCCGCCAGGCCTCCTGCTGGAACTGATAACCCACGCCCTGGGCTCAGCGGAATGGGCACCTGGACTAGCTCACTAGAGCACGCCGGCTGAGCAGAGCCCTAGAAACCAAGACTAAGAGACGACAAGCCCCAGCAGCCTGGGAGCACAGGAGGAACTGCTGCAGGTCAGCAGGCAGGGAGTGAGCTGCAGCTGGGATGGGACCAGGGCCTTCCTCCTCCACCAAATGGCGCAAGCATACCCCTAGAGGGAATGTTCTTCCAAGACATTATTACAGAAAATCTACATTAACCTTCCGTCTTTTCCACTGGGTAAATGGAAAGGGCTCTGATGGAGAACCTGGGCAGAGACGACTCGGCCGAGAAATCCTATGAGGAAGCAGGGCCTTGGCCGGCACTGAGTCTGCTGGATCCTTGGCCTTGGGCTTCACGGCCTTTTTGTTGCTTCTAAGCCATTTGGACTGTGGAATCCACTTACAGTAGCGTCAACAGACCAAGAAGCACAGGAACGCCCCCCAGTGTGGTTTCCTCACTACACATTAGGATCCTAGAAGGAGCTAGCTGTCTCCCAGGTGAGGATGGGCATGGGGTCAGGTGTGGAAACCGACTCGCACACAGCAGGGCAGGTGGTGGAGACGCAAGCTGCCGCCTCCGTGCGCTGTGGTAACTGCTATCCTTGTCTCATTCCTGACTTCCTGGGGGCGGCGTGGGAGGGCTGCCTCTACTTCCACCATTCGGGGTGACCCCGAGCCCCACCTCGGAGGAGCTCCTGCTTCTTGCTGAGGCACTCCCGCTCCTTGTCACAGATCTCACGCCTGTTTTCTATGGTGAGCTTCTTCATGGCCAGCTCCAGGTCCTCCTTCTGCTTGGCTACAAAGTCTCGGTCCTGCGGGGAGGGACAATGAGGCTTTACAGAGATGGCTTGGGTGACTTCTCTCTCTCTCTCTCTGTGAAGATAAGGGCCTGTCTGCCTCTCTCACCGGCCCTGGTTTGTTCGTTTAAATGGTTTATTTTATGTGTGTGAGTGCTGACTGGCATGTATGTGTATGTATGTATGTACAACATATGCCCAAGGAAGGGCACTGGATCTCCTGGAACTGGAGTTACAGGTGGCTGAGCTGCACAACATGCGTGCTAGGAACCAAACCCAGATCTCCTGCAAGAGCAGAAAATGCTCTAAAACCGCTAGACCATCTCTGTTTTATTTTTATTTATTTATTTTTTAATTTTCTTTCTTTTTTTTTTTTTTTTTTTTTTGGTTTTTTGAGACAGGGTTTCTCTGTAGCTTTGGAGCCTGTCCTGGACTAGCTCTGTAGAACAGGCTGGCCTCAAACTCACAGAGATCCACCTGCCTCTGCCTCCCGAGTGCTGGGATTACAGTTGTGCACCACCACCGCCCGGCAGCCCTGTGTTTTAAAAAGTTATCTGCTCATAATAATTGTACAGGTGCATGGGTGCAGTGTGCTGTTTCCGCACATGTGTGCCTATGTACTGAAGATTTTGGGGGAATTCCTATGTCTAACACCTCAGATATTTATCATTTCTTCATGTAAAACATGGAAGACCCTCTTCTTGCTGTGTTGAAAATATACATTATTGGGTATGGTCACCCTTCTGTGCTACTGAACACAAAACCTGTTTCGTCTACTAATAAGCAACCTCACTTGGTTAGAGAGACAGGTTGTGAGGTACACTGAAAGGACTGGGAAGTCTGGAGTCAGATCAAACACTAAGCCTCACCCCACCACCCTCAATTCTGCAGCGTCACCTTTCTGAGCTTTGATTTTTTTCTGCAAATGGGAAACCAAACAGCTCCTACCCCAGGTACCATGAACACTTGACCAGATCATACGTCAAGCATCTGTAAACGTGGGCTCTGACTGCCTGCACCCAGGGCTGAGGAGGCAGAGTGTGCAGAGACCCCAGAGTGGAGAACACAGGAGCATCCCAGCAAGTGGTGAGAGGCTGGACCGAGGGGTGGGGTCAAGTTGGGAGGGACTAGGAGGGGCTGGGGGGCTGGGAGGGGCTGGGGGGCTGGGAGGGGCTGGGAGGGGCTGGGGGGGATTGGGAGGACCAGCAGCATCAGGCACAGTGAGGAGGGTCTCAGCTCATGGACACACGGAGAGTGCTGAAGGGTTTTAAGGCCCAGAGCTGAGGGAAGGAAGGGTGGCAGGGCCAGATTTGGATTCCATGTTGACAATGCCCGCTGAGCCGAGAGAAAGAAGTGCAGGAAAGCAAGAGGAAGCAGGGAGAATAGCTGGGCTGGGAGAGCTGCACCATCGGTGGGGATCCAGCAACAACGCTGGCAGACTCATGGGTCCAAAGACTGGAGAAAAATGCATGCGTGGATGGATGCATGGATGGATGGATGGATGGACGGATGGAAATAGGTGTGTGTGGTGTGTATCTGTAGTGTGTGTTTTAGTAAGTATGTATGTATGTTATATGTTCGGGCATATGAGTGTTGTGTGTTTATATAGTGTGTTATATGTGTGGGGAGCATGTGTCCTGTGTGCGTGCGTGCGTGCGTGCGTGCGTGCGTGTGTGTGTGTGTGTGTGTGTACCACATTTCAGGAGGTGATGTGGAGGGAAAGGACGGGTCAGGAATGGCAAAAGTCCTGGCCTGCAAACAGGCTAGAGACAAGTTCCTCCTCGGGACATAAGAACAGAGCCAGGTCTGGGAGATGAAGACACCACGTAGGCAGGTACTGATCTTGGTTGAGAGGGGATGTGACATACAAACAATTCGCAGTAGAAGGCAGGACTAAGTAAGGTACAGGCTGCAGCGGCCGGAGACGACAGGGCTCACTGTCCGGGTACAAGGGTCATCAGGGAGGATGGCCGATGAGTGATGGGCTAGATTTAGGCACTCAGAACAGGAGGTGGATACTCAAGCGGCAGGTCTGGGCAGGTAAGGGGGGACCCGCTTCATGACTGCGGCCGAGTGACTGAGGCTGGGGACTCACAAGCAGTTGCTTCTTCTGCGAGTGTTCTTCCATCTTCTGCCTCATGCTCTCTTTCCGCTGCTGCCGGGGCAGTTTCTCAACCTCATTCTTCACCTGCAGCAGACAGCAGAACATCTTAGACCAGGGCCCTTCCGATTCTGGATGCACTATGAGTTTCGGTCACACTTGACCCATGAAATAGCTATCCCACAGATATGCGGTCAATATCTAAGGTCTGTTTCTGCTTCTATGGGAGCATGTCCCTCCGCTGAGATGCTGCTGACCCTGAGGTGCAAGGGGTGGACTCCCTCCAGCTTTACGGGGCTCTAGGGGGGCAGGGGATCCAACACTGTCAGTCTCAACAACACTGTGTCTGACCAACACTGTCTGTCTGGCCAACACTGTCTGTCTCAACAACACTGTGTCTGGCCAACACTGTCTGTCTCAACAACACTGTGTCTGACCAACACTGTCTGTCTCAACATCAATGTCAGTCTGATGTTTACAAAACACTCCACCCAGCACACAGAATAACAGCCTTTTCAAGCATGCATGGCACATTTACTAACAGTTCTAAAGCATAAAAAGAATCTTAAACTTTAAAAAATTTCATAGCAAAATTTAAGGAGCCCATGGGTCAAAGAGGAAGTTGCAGAGTATATCAGAAAAGAATTTGAGTCAGGCTGTGGTGGTGCATGCCTTTTATCCCAGCACACAGGAGGCAGAGGCTGGCGGATCTCTGTGAGTTTGAGGCCAGTCTGTTTTACAGAACAGTTCCAGGACAGCCAGGGCTATACGAGAAACTCTGTCTCAAAACAAAACAAAACAGAATTTGAACTGAATAAAAATGAAAATACAGCCCATCCAAGTTTCTGAGATAAAGTTAGTGCATAGAGGTAAATTTGAGCATTAGTCCTCAGAAAAAGAAGAAAGTCTCCAATCAGTTATCCAAGCTTCCACAGTAAGTAATCTTATAACAATAAAAGCAATTTAAGTCTAAATCAAATATAAAAGCAGAAATCAATAACAATGAAAACAGAAAAACAGCAGTGAAGATTAGGACTGAGCAGAGGTGGCATGTTTGTCCTGTATACACGTGGGTCTTGGGGTCCACCCTTCCGAGTCACAAAACTAAGAAAAAAAATGAAATTTAAAGAAGGAACGAAAACAATGAAACCCTTTGAAGAGTCGGTAGAATTAGTCGTCTTCCGCTCTGGTCAGTGGAGAGGGAGGAAGAACAGTGGAGGAAGCGGAAGATGAGGAAGGGAACGAGAGAATGGAGAAGGGAGACATTACCAGGCCGGGAATGGAGAGCATCAGTGGAGATCCTACAGATCCAAGAGTTGCTAAGAGAGCGTCACCAACAGCACATAGATCCGTAGACAACAGACAAACGCCTGGAAAGACGGAAAGTACCAAAGCCATTCAAGAAAGAGTAGCTAGCTCAAGCCACACAGGCATCATAGAAAACCAAAGACCAAGGTCCTTATTCACAAAGATTCAAAATTCCTTCATAAAATACTGGCAAACTGGGTCTTGTAATATATAAAAAGAATAATAGATAATGACCAAGTGAGGGTTCTTTTGTTTGTTTTGTGTTTTTTTTTTAATTTATTTGTTTTGTGTATATAGATGTTTTGTCTGTATGTATGTCTGTACATGCCTAGCCAGAAGAGGGTGTTGGATTCCTTGGCACTGAAGCTATGGATGGTTATGAGCTGCCATGTGGGTGGGTGCCGGGAATTGAATCTAGGTCCACTGAAAGAACAGCCAGTGCACTTAACCTCTGAGGCATCTCTTCAGCCCTCTGTTTTTTGTTTGTTTGGTTGGTTTTTGTTTTTTCAAGACAAGGTTTCTCTGTGTAGCCCTGGCTGTCCCTGGCTGTCACTCTGTAGACCAGGCTGCCCTTGAACTCAGAGAGATCCTCCTGCCTCTGCCTCCCGAGTGCTGGGACTAAAGGCATGTACCACCACGCCTGGCTTGTTTAGTTTTTCTCAGACAGGGTCTCACCATGTAACTCTGTCTGACCTGGAACTTGCAATGTAGACCATGTTGGCCTCAAGCTCACAAGAGATCTACCTTTTTCTGCCTCCTGAGTACCAGGATTAAAAGTACGTGCCACCGAACCTGGGTGTAACCAAATGGGTTTTATACAAAGAATGCAAAGCTAGTTTAATATGTGAAAATCAAACAACTCATGTCAACAAACTACAGAAGAAAAAAATCGTATGATTATATCAACTGATTCATACAAAAAAATTAAAATATTCAACATTCCCTTATGATAAAAATCTACTCATAAACTAAGAAGAGAATTTCATTAACTTGGTCTGAAGGCATCTACAAAAACAAAACAAAGCCAGGATGGGGCTGCAGGTCTTTTGTGCAGCCACTCAGGAGGCGGGGGCAGGGGCAGGGGCAGGAGCAGGGGGCGGGGCAGGGGCAGGGGCAGGGGCAAGGGCAGGGGCAGGAAGATCTCTGAGTTCAAGGCCAGTCTGTTCTATATAGCCTGTTCTAAGCTGGCCAGACTCACTTTGTAAGAACCTGTCTTTGAAAAAAAAAAAAAAAACAGAATCAAATCAATGCTCTGGTGCTAACATCAGACGTAATGAGGAAATATTGCATGTGTTCCTTTTGAGACTGGGAACAAGGAGGAAGGACATCCACTCTACTATTTCTAGCCAACTTCCTGCTGGAACCTGAGCCAGCACGATACAGCAATAAGAGGCATATCATTTGAACAGAAGAAATGAAACTGTTTCTGTCTATACAGAAAACCTCAAGGAATCTACCAAAGAAAAAAAATACTAGAATAAGAAGGCTAGATACAAGACCACTGCACAAAAGCAGTATGACTCTATACGCTAGTAATAGCTAAATTGATACTTTAATTTCTATTTTACTTTATGTGCATGGGTGTTTTTCCTGCAAGCATATCTGTGCACCACTTATGTGCCCGGTGCCCCACAAGCAGCCAGAAGAGGGAATTGAGACTCCCCAGAACTGGAGTTACATACGGTTGTGAGCCACCATGTACGTGCTGGGAACTGACCCTGGGTCTTCTGGAAGATCAGCAACTGCTCTTAACTGCTGAGCCATCTCACCAGCCCCCTAAATTGATCATTTTAAAGCATCTTATGAAAGTATCCCCAAATGACGTAAGTATAACTCTAACAAAACATATGATGGACTAGTATACTAAAAATGAAAAATCACTAACAAAAGTCATCAAAGAAGACCCAAGAAAGCACGTGTATAAATGCCTGTGGCAGAAGGGCTCAGAGGTGCTCAGATGGCCACTCACCCAAACTGACCTGATCAAAGTCCTGCCAGGCTTCTTTATGGGATCGGCAAGGCGATGTGACAATGTGTATGAAAAGGCAAAGGGGCAGAACTGCCAGTGACAGGGCTCACGCCACTTGATGTCAGGTTTACTAGGAGTTTGGATCCCCAGACACTGGAGTACTGGTGAGGTGAGGGACAGACAGAAGAACCCTGCATGACATGCAGACCCAGAATGCACCACACCCAGATCCACTTATATATGTTCAATTCCTTTTCCACAAAGACAATTTAGCAGAGGAAAGTAAGCATTTCTAACATACAATGGCTGGGGCAGGCCTCCCTAGCCAAACCCATTCACACCTCATCCAGACTTCCCTAGCCAAACCCATTCACACCTCATCCAGACCTCCCTAGCCAAACCCATCCACACCTCATCCAGACCTCCCTAGCCAAACCCATTCACACCTCATCCAGACCTCCCTAGCCAAACCCATTCACACCTCATTCAGACATCCCTAGCCAAACCCATTCACACCTCATCCAGACATCCCTAACCAAACCCATTCACACCTCATTCAGACATCCCTAGCCAAACCCATTCACACCTCATCCAGACCTCCCCTAGCTAAACCCATTCACACCTCATCCAGACCTCCCCTAACCCAAACCCATTCACACCTCATCCTTTACAGAAACTCAACTCAAAATGCTCTCCCGTGGAAACAGAAAACCAAACATGGCAAACTGCTAAAAGACTGCATCCCATAGGGCTGGGGAAGGATTCCGTGGTTTCTTAGATAAGCCACTAAAAGAATTCGACCCCAAAAGGAAACAAGGAGGGCTATAAGACAAGCCATGTGTGGAGAATACATGCATGCAAAATAGCATCTCACAAAGTACAGTCCCAAACATAAAGAGAACTGTCAGACTTCAGTCCAAAGAAACCAGTCTCCCAGCTAAATAAAGGAGCTGGAGAGTTTCGAACAGACATGTCACCAAAAGTGACACAGGTGCCAAAGGAGCAAGTGAAGAGACTCCTCGTCCCTCGTCACCAGTGACATGCAAAACCCAAAGTCCACAGGGAAACGCCACTCCACACCCATCAGGGTGGCTAACATAAACAGTATAGTTGACAAGACCAAGTGTCGGGGAGAAGGAGCAACTGGACCACTCCTGCGTTGCTGTGGATACGGAACAGATTCGGAGCATCTGGAGGAGTGTGACATGTGCTTAGCATCTGAATCCCAAAACCCACCAACTTAGCCTGCTTCATCCTCTCTTCCAATTCCCAGGTTTTTATAAAATGGTCTTGGGTTTTGCAGGCTGAGTCTGGTCCCATGTTTTCTGGCCTCTCTGCTTTAAATGGATTTCCCATCTGCAGCATGATGGAATCTGGGAACCTGAGAGAGAGGAGGCTGTCCCATGCATTTACAGGATGTCAGCAGTGTCCCTGGCTGTGACATCAACAGACTGCTCCACTCCATCCCCAAGCTGTGACACCCACTAGATGTTTGTAGACACTGCCAATGTCTCAGAGAGCTGGGGACAGAAGACTCCTGGCTGAGAAGTACAGGTTTACATAAAATTCCTAAAGGAATACTTCATCTGTGCACCTTGGCCTCTATATCAGGTGTGGCGTCCTGTCCCAGCTCAGTGACCGTGAGAGCTATCACACAACTTAAGGGCTACAGACTTAGAGCTGTGCTTTTACAAGCTGATGGCTTTGGTCTGGGGGACAGAAGATCAGAAGCAGCAACAGGAGACAGAGCCCAGGCTCTGAGTTTTCTGTTAAAGACATGGAAGACACAAGCGACATTCTCGTCTCTGGTGATGGAGGGAGAAGGCAGAGGAAGAAAGGCAGAGCCCTGAGGGGCCACTCCTCAAAGAGGCAGACCCGAGGACTCATGGGGACCTTTGCATGCCAGCACGGCTCTCTGGCAGAGCTGTGCAATGGGCAGGCATGGCAGGCTGGGAGACCGAGTTCCACGCAGATAAGCTGCATTCCAGGACAGTGACGTCCTCGAAGTTACTGAATGTATTGGTGTCCCATTTTTTTCCCAACCAGAAAAACAACCTAGTTTTTAACTGAGACGTTCCCAGGGTTCCTTCCAGGGATATGATGTGCAGGGGCTAGGGAACTCTGAACCACTTAATAAGCTGAGCTTCACGACAGGGACACATTCTGAGAAACGTCATTACACAATTTCATCAGCATGCAAACGGGGGAAAAACCTTGGGAAAAACCTAACGAACTGACTTTCCCCTCACCACAGCTCCCTGGTTCAGCACGGCGACCACTGGCACAGCAGTTTACATGGCATGGGAAATTATGAATGACCTAGAGGTGACTGAAGGCGCTCAGGAAGGTGTGTGCGGTTTGTATGCAGAATGCACCGTTGTACAGATGCAGCAGCCGTGAACCTGTGGGTGTGCCCGAGTGAGTCAGTCCCTGAGCGGGTCCTGAGGAACATCTATGTGGTTCACTGAACTTAGTGCTGGCACCCCAATGAGCTCTGGAAAGAGAGAGTACACAGGAGCCTCCAATGAGTTGCTGAAAAGTAGGCCATGCTCAGACCACAGCAATCAAGCTTTGCTGCCTGGAAGAATAGTTCCAAGGATGCAAGCTTACTAAATGGCATTGTCCTGCTGAGAAGCTGAAAGGGCACAGAAGTCAAGCTGCTTCTTCTCATGAAAACTTTCAAATAAAACAACCAAGAGAGGCCGGGCGGTGGTGGCGCACGCCTTTAATCCCAGCATTCGGGAGGCAGAACCAGGCGGATCTCTGTGAGTTCGAGGCCAGCCTGGGCTACCAAGTGAGTTCCAGGAAAGGTGCAAAGCTACACAGAGAAACCCTGTCTCGAAAAACCAAAAAAAAAAAAAAAAAAAAAAAAAACAACCAAGAGAAAAGAAGAAAAGTCAAACTAAACCAGGGATGTTGGTGTAACTCGTGTGGTAGGGAACCTGTGTAGTTGGAGTTTCTTAGCCTGGCTGCGCACAGGGCATCAGGGTCTCAAGAGCGGCCCACGCCTCCCGATGTTGGGGAAACTAAGGGCTGGGACATCCTTCCACAGACTCCCAGGAGGAAGGAGGTGAATAAGCAGATGGCAGCACCGGATGTGGGAGCCTCAGTTTCCAGCAGAACACAGCCTGCCAGGCTAAGGGTCTGGGAACCCGGGTCCTGTCACTCAGGGCCATGCATCTCCTTACCTCCCCCTTCCAACCGAGGGGAGGAAGACAGCCAGAAGAGGGCAGAGCACAGGGCACGGAGTGTACCAGGCCTCTCCCGCATCACCTCCCCTTGTGGGAAGAGCATCTCCAGTTTTCCAGTTTTCTCTTTCATCCTCTCTGCTCTCTTTCATCTAAGAGGATGTGAAAGAAGCTAAGAGAAGCCACTGAGAAAGAACCCAGCTGCGGGGAAAGCCAACCCAGGAAGTGGCATCCAAAAGACAGAGAAAGGACTAGTGTCATGGCTCTGTGGCTGGGGTACCAGGGCCCCAGTGTGGCTGCCCCAAGGACTTGGGGTAATTGCGCCCTGCAGCCCCTCTGTTAGGAAGGGAAGCTGTGCTGGCTATTTTTATATCAACCTGACACAAGCTAGAGTCACTGGAGAGGAGGGAGCCTTAGTTGAGAAAACACCTCCGTAAGATCAGGCTTTATGGGGTTGGGATTAGCTCAGTGGTAGAGCGCTTGCCTAGCAAGCGCAAGGCCTTGGGTTCGGTCCTCAGCTCCAAAAAAATAAAATAAAATAAATAAAATAAATAAAAAATAATAAAAAATCAGGCTTTAGGCAAGCCTTAATTAGTGAGTGATTTGGGGAGGGCCAGTCCTATTGTGGGTGGTACCATCCCCAGGGTGGTGGTCCTGGGTTCTATAAGAAAGCAGGCTGAGCAAGTCATGAGGAGCAAGCCAGCAAGCAGCACTCCTCCACGGCCTCTGCGTCAGCTCCCGCCTCCAGGATCCTGCCCTGTCCTCCCCCAGTGACAGACTGACTGTGCAGGGAAGTGTAAGCTGAAACAAACCCTCTCCTTCCCAAACTGCTTCTGGCTGTGGTGTTTTACCACAGCAACAGAAAGAGCAGAGGCCCTGACCCACGCCCCCAAGCACTCCATCACCTCCTTCTTCATCTGCTTGAGTTGCTCTTGGAACTTGGCGTAGTCTCGATCCTGCTCCAGGCGGATCCTCTTGGCCTCTTCCTTGCGGCGCACGCCGTGGTCCTGCTCCATCTTCTCCACTTGCTGCTTCTGCTGCCGCTCCAGGTTCTCTAGCTCCACGTCATAGAATTTCTTCTTGGCCTGGAAGGTGCACAGACTCAGAGGCATCCCACAGAGCCACTTCATACCTCAGCGCCTATACCAGACCCAGGCTTGGACCCCAGCCCTGTCGCCCTTTGCTGTGTGACCCAGGACAAGTTATTTAACCTCTCTGAGTTGTTTCCTTGTCTGACCTGGCAGGACAGTGGCACGGCACTCCACCTCTAGAGGTGTCCCTGTGAGACTCAGGGTCACCGGGACCTAACCACCCCCTTCTGCAACACCGCCACCTGAAGAAAACACGGACACCCGAAGACCCTGGATCTGTCTCCTCTAACTCACATTGATTTCTTGTTCAAAACGTTTGTGCATTTGCTCCAGCTGCAGCTCGTGCTTGTTGCTCAGCTGGGTCTGGTTCCGATGTTCTTCTTTCTGCAGCAGCCGAAGCTCTCGGAGTTCCTGGCGCCTGCAGATGAACAGACACAAACATTTCCTAATGAGAAGGGGGCCTCTGAGACCACAGTGTTCACAGCCTGGGCCATGGAGGGATGGATTGTGGAGGAGAATCCCACTGACTCAAGCAGAGACACAATCAGGATTCAGGCTTCATTTGATATTCTGACAGACAAAAAGGTGATCATCCTTCATATATAAAGAGCATTTACAAATCACTAAGGAAGAAGGAACTAACTGCAACCCCAAAATAGGTACATAACATGAAAAGATATAAAGCAAACAAGTGCAAAAATAAGAAACTTTAAAATTATCCATATGATATGAAATACAAATATAAAAGAAAAACATTTCATTGAACAGACAAGCATATAGGGGATTTCTTACTCCATGTGTTACTAACATAAATTATTAGAACATTTTGAAAGATACTGGCAATAACCTTTACACCTTCTGACACCCTAGTTTCCAATCACTTCTGGATTGGATGAGGATGTTTGTAACAATGTCATTTATAATTAAATTTCACCCCACTGGTCCAAGATGGAGGAAATATCCCTAGAACACCCCAAACTATTTCTATTCTGGAATGCTAGAAGCTTCATTCAAAGCAATGATGACGTCTGCAAAGCCCTGGCCTTGGGGTGCTTTGAGCCTCCTCAGTACCCAGCAACCCACTCTTCGCCAGCAGTCCCAGGAAACTACAGCGTGCAGTGAAAACTGGAGTGATTCTCAGGCGGAATCTCTGCTCTGCTCCTTGTCCACTAGAGACCCACTGCGCGCAGCTTTCTATCAAGAACCATGGTCTCCTCACGCGCACCTGAGGAACAGGGTCCCCTAGGGAGGGCTTTGAGACAACTGGAGTGCGTGAGGCTCTTTCAGCCATGCGGCTTTGTCTCACACCTTCCTTCTCTGTCCCTCTCTCGTTCTCACTGAGTCCTATTCCTCTTCCCTCCTGGCCACTGCCCCAGCCTAAGCCAGAGTCTGACAGTCCTGGACAGTCTCCCCACCTCCCAAGCCCATTTTACCCTTCTACAGCTAACACTTATACAGTAGCCAGAGAAACTGTCCAGACGGGACATCAGGACCCGTCACATGTGCCATTCCCCTTCTGCTGTGCCTTTCCCTCACAGCTCACAGACCTCCACAGCCTGGATCCTGCCCCCTCACAGTCCCCAGTTCCACGCTCCTCTGTCCTGGCATTCCATACTGTAGTCCCGTTCGCTAAGATCCTGACACAAACCAGGAGTTCACCCACCAGGGCCTCAGCAACCACAGATTCTCTCAGGACTTCCCTAGCTCTGGGATTCACCTCATCTTTCAGCTCAGGGTGGTGATGGTGAGGTCCCTATGAGCGATCTCTGCACAGCCCAGGCATTCACTGTTGTATCATTCCTTCCTTCCTTCACAGTGCACAGCACAATCAAGAATTAGCTTGTCGATACCACTAAAATCAGGAACAAGACAAGGCTGTCCACTCTCCCCATATTTATTCAATATAGTACTAGAAGTTCTAGCTAGAGCAATAAGACAACAAAAGGAGATCAAAGGGATACAAATTGGAAAAGAAGAAGTCAAACTTTCACTATTTGCAGATGATATGATAGTATACATAAGTGACCCCAAAAACTCTACCAGGGAACTCCTACAGCTGATAAACTCCTTCAGTAAAGTGGCAGGATACAAAATCAACTCAAAAAAATCAGTAGCTCTCCTATACACAAACGATAAAAGGGCTGAGAAAGAAGTCAGGAAACATCACCCTTTACAATAGCCACAAATAATATAAAATACCTTGAGATAACACTAAACAAGTGAAGGACCTTTTGATAAGAACTTTAAATCTCTAAAGAAAGAAATTGAAGAAGATATCAGAAAATGGAAGGATCTCCCATGCTCATGGATAGGTAGGATTAACATAGTAAAAATGGCAATTTTACCAAAAGCAATCTACAGATTCAATGCAATCCCCATCAAAATCCCAACACAATTCTTCACAGACTTGGAAAGAAAAATACTCAACTTCATATGGAAAAACAAAAGACCCAAGATAGCTAAAAGAATCCTGTATGATAAAGCAACCTCTGGAGGCATCACCATCCCTGACCTCAAGCTCTACTATAGAGCTATAGTAACAAAAACAGCTTAGTACTGGTATAAAAACCGACATACAGACCAATGGAATCGAATTGAAGACCCTAACATTAATCCATGCACATATGAACACCTGATTTTTGACAAAGAAGTCAAAACTATACAATGGAAAAAAGAAAGTATCTTCAACAAATGGTGCTGGCATAACTGGATGTCAATATGTAAAAGATTACAAATAGATCCTTATCTATCACCATGCACAAAACTCAAGTCCAAGTGGATAAAAGACCTCAACATAAATCTAGTTACACTAAACTTAATAGAAGAGAAAGTAGGAAGTACTCTTGAACGCATTGGCACTGGAGACCACTTCCTAAATATAACACCAACAGCACAGACCGTGAGCACAACAATTAATAAATAGGACCTCTTGAAACTGAGAAGCTTTTGCAGGGCAAAAGACACGGTCAATAAGACAAAAAGACAGCCTACAGAATGGGAAAAGATCTTCACCAACCTCACATCTGACAGAGGATTGATCTCCAAAGTATATAAAGAACTCAAGAAACTAGACATCAAAATACTGAACAATCCAATTGAAAAATGGGCTAAAGAACTAAACAGAGAATTCACAAAACAAGAATCACAAATGGCTGAAAGACATTTAAAGAAATGCTCAACATCCTTAATTATCAGAGAAATGCAAATCAAAATGACTCTAAGATACCACCTTACACCTGTCAGAATGGCTATGACCAAAAACACTAATGACAGTCAATGTTGGAGAGGATGTGGAGCAAAAGGAACACTCCTCCACTGTTGGTGGGAATGCAAGCTTGTACAACTACTGTGGAAATCAGTATGGCGGTTTCTCAGAAAATTAGGAATCAAACTACCTCAAGCCCCAGCCATACCATTCTTGGGCATATACCCAAGGAACGCTGATTCATACCACAAAGATACATGCTCAACTATGTTCATAGCAGCACTATTTGTAATAGCCAGAACCTGGAAACAACCTAGATGCCTGTCAACTGAAGAATGGATTAAGAAAATGTGGTACATATACACAATGGAGTACTACTCAGCAGAGAAAAACAATGACAGCATGAAATTTGCAGGCAAATGGATGGAACTAGAAAAAATCATCCTGAGTGAGGTAACCTAAACCCAGAAGGACAAACATGGTATGTACTCACTCATAAGTGGATTCTAGATATAAAATAAAGAACAATCAGACTACAACCCACAGAACCATGGAGACTATATATATATATATATATATAGCATGGGGGACCCTAGGACGACTGTGGCTTATAATAAGTTTTGGTTTTACTCAATTACTGAGCAAGCCTCAATGAAACATTTCACAATTAAGATGGGAATACATACTGTATCAAGCTGATAATAGAAAGGTGGATAAATTGATTAATTTGAAAAAGTGAAAAATGAAAAAAAAAATAAAAGAAAAATTTGAATTGTTTAAAAAGGAGCCAAACAAACATATTTTGCTGGAGTAAAAAAAAAAAGGCGGGGGGGAACTGGGGACTCATCATTCCTCTCCACATTCTATTCTTTCCCTTGTTTTATATATTAAATTTTTTATCGGTGGTTTCTGCTGGAGTATCCACTGCAGATAAGCACTGGAGGTCTCCTGTTGCAAATCACCCTCTGGAACGATAGAAGGATCTTTCTACTGGCACTTGAAGGAGACCCGATCTGGTGTTGGTGTAGGCCCCGGGGTTCTGTTTATGTCTTTCCTCAGGACAATGAGGTTCCTCTTTGGATTCCTGAGCACTGTGTGTGCCCCGTGGCTGCTGCTGAAGGCCAACGTGACAGAGACCTATTGGGCCTTTGTGAAAAACTCTCCCCTTCTGATGCCAATGGGGATTGAGAGCCCAATATGGCCAGCTTTGGCAAGCATTAACGTAAGCCTAGGAACTGTAGCCATGCTTTTGGATTCTCCAGAAGAGCTGCCAGCCTAAGTCGTGCTGGGATCAAGAAAAATGGGCCTTGGTGGTTCGTGTTCCTGGAGTTGTATCCACGCCAGTGGATGTCCACACGCTCCAGAAGAGAATTTGACATTGCTGCTGCCGTTGTTGCTGTTATAGCAGGGGCGGCCACCACTGCTACTATTTCTGCGATTACCATTTCATAATTGCTTACTACAGCTAGCACAGTGGAGACCCTGGCAGCAAAAGTAGCTACCACAGTTAGTTAATCTTTCATTCTATTGGGCATGATAAATTTAATTCAATAGTTATATACATCTTGATTGGCTTTGAAAATTATAAATTTATAAACTCAAGTTCCATATGCTTTTGGGATACCATCTTACAAGGACTCTAGTTTGCAGTAAGCCTCGTTAAGGAAGGGAATGGCTCAGTTGCCTTTAGCCTACTGGCTATGGGTGGGATAGGACCTCTGTTGGTCTTTTCTATGTCGAACACACAGATTGCAAGCCCAGTGCCACTTTGAGATCTTTGGCAGCAGTTAACTCTGCAACTCTCACATGATTGAGCCTGTATGATAATGAGTATTCAGAGACGGGTAATGCCTGGGGGCGCTCACCAACCTAAGACAGAGCGCCTGTGTGGCCTGGGCAGGCGTCTCCATGACGGGTAAGGTGACCTGCTGATGTCCCATGCAACCTAAGTCAGAAGCTCATTTTTTAGTAAAAGGGGGACCTGTAGGGCCCTGGCCCCTGTTTTGGGTAACTGTCGCCTTGCTTGCTGACCATGACCTTGATATCCTCCCTATGCTAATTCCCTGCCGGGTTCCACCCTCCTGAATGCTTAAGGGAAGTTCCTTGTCTGTGTATCCTGCATAATGGGCGTTAACAGCTTAGATGCAAGATTGTAAAACATCGGTAGCGAATTTCTGCCCTCTGGGGTTCTCCCATTGTGCTGTAAGCCTGTATTTAAGATCTCTTCCCTCCTTCAATAAACAGCATTCGGCATTAAAAAAAAAAAAGGCCTGGAGAGATGGCTCAGAGGTTATGAGCATAGACTCCTCTTCCAGATGTCCTGAGTTCAATTCCCAGCAACCACATGGTGGCTCACAACCATCTGTAATGAGATCTAGTGCCCTCTTCTGACCTGTTGTCATACATGCTGTATACAAAATAAACAAATAAATCTTAAAAAAGAATTAGCTTGTGTCTTGTGTTTGGGACCCATAGGTATAAATTCGACCCAGGGGATAGCTTCATGTATCTGGATGTCCATTATGTCCCACTTGGTAGATGATGCATGAATCAACAACTGGGTGGATGTATGGGTAGACAAATGATAAGTGAAGAGGTGGGTGGGTGGACTGAATGGGTGACTAGACAGACGGGGAGACAAGTACAGACAAAGGGAGGTGGATGAACAGACGGATAACTGGGTGGACAGGTGGATACAGGGGTAGATGGATGGATGAACAAACAGATCAGTGGAAGGAAAAATAGAACAGTTGGGGGTTCTGTAGATGGGAGGGATAGCTGATGAATGAGTGGATAGCTGAGTGGGCGGATGGATGGATGGATGGATGGATGGATGGATGGATGGATGGGTGGATGGATAGAGATCAGATAGACAGACAGAGGAGCACAGACATGGATATGAGACAGAGGTTGGGCAGATGGGTCACTGGGCATGTAGATGAGTGAGTAGATGGACAAAAGAGAGAGTGGAAGATGGGCGGATGTATGGGTAGATGAACGCAGGAGGGGGTCTTAAGTAAAACCACTTTCCTTTTGCCTCAGTCTCCCACTTCACACTGTAGACAGGCAGCTGACCCACCCAAAGGTCCAATGCCTAGCCCTCTCAGGGCACCCCCCTCCCCGGTTCCCACACTGGTGCCTCCCCGGACTTGCCTGAGAAATCTCATCTCCTCGTCTTTCTTCTCATCTTCACTGATGATCTTGGAGGTGGTGATGCTCACCTCCACACCGTCCACCACAAACCTGCGGGTCCGCTTCAGGGTCTTGTTGTGCAGTTTTGAGCCCTGGCAAGGAGAACGTGCCCAAGCTCAGCTAGAAATCCACAGTGGGGACAGGGTGAGGGCCACAGTCTGGGCCCAGGAAGGATGAGGCCACCCACTGTCCCCTTTCCTCAAGCTTCCCAAACAGGGCCTAAGCGGCTGGCCTTAGACCCCCTTCCTTCAGCTGGTCTCAGCTTCAGACACTTCACAAAGCTCTCACCTCATTGAGGCATTCTAGTGAAACACAGCCTCAGCATCAAAAAGGGCTGTGTTCATCCTCACTGGTCACTGCCGGCTTTGTGACCCTGGTCTTGCCTGAATCTTGGCTTTCTCCGCTTTCCATGGAGTATTAAAACAGAACTGGCCTCCCTGGGTGGCTGTGAAGATTTGATGAGAAGCACATGGGGCACACATGGCATAGGATTTACTTCTGCTTGCCAGTCAAGATCACAGACCATGGATTTGGTGGCCTCAGCTAGCAAGCCACAGCTGTGGTTGTCCAGAGCCTCATGGGACCATTCCTCCCATTTATCTCTTTCTGTGAATAACCACACACTCCACAAAGGCTGCTTAGGCAGGACCTCCCGGCTCTGGGAGGTGTCATGGTGGAAGTACTCAGTTCTGACTCACATGAGGGCTTAGGGCCCTACAGTGGTTATCTGATGACCTCTGTCCTGCCCCCTGCCTCAGAATTTTCTGCAGACTCCCTTCCTACAAGAAGGTAGCTCTGCCTCTGCAACATGGCGCATGGGCCTTCCAGCCCCATCAAGAGGAGTGGGCACCCCAAGGTGGCTAAGAGTTGGCTCCTTGCTCTGTATGCTGCTGCCCAGCCCAGCTCACCTGGGCCCCAGGCACTCGGTGCCTTCTTTTTTTAACGGTGCTGGGGATGGAACTCAGGGCCATGTGCACGTACAGTAAGTACACTATCATCATGCTACATCTCCAGCACCACTTAGCGCCTTTTAGGAGGAAGTACAAGATGATGCTTCTCCATAAAAGCCACTGGACGGGCCCAGGCGGGCAGTGGTGGTGCACACCTTTAATCCCAGCACTCGGGAGGCAGAGCCAGACGGATCTCTCTGAGTTCAAGGCCAACCTGGTCTACAGAGCGAGATCCAGGACAGGCACCAAAACTACACAGAGAAACTCTGTCTCAAAAAACAATAACAACAACAAAAACAAACAAGCAAACAAAAAACCTGCTGGCCACAGCTGGGCAACTACAGTTCATGACAATCTGTGTCAGTTCTGAAGAAAAGAAAAGCTTCCATGGACACATCTGTTTGACCGAGCCTCTTCGGATCCAGAGTCTACTGCGGGGCTGGCAGGCTGCTTCTGTCTTCGCTACCTTGTACTTACCAGATTTGTGACTGATCTGCATGCCTTACCCTGAGGAAGTCTTAGAAGGCAATACAGAAATGCACAGCTCACCTCTGCCCCCTGCCCCCCTAAGTCGGTCTTGTTTGGGGGTTCAGGTGGCCAAGAGTAAGTTCAATGGTATCACAGAACTGCTGGGGGCAGATAAGGAGGGGGGTCACCCCTTCTAGCTGCTGGAAGAAGAGACCGCTAAAGACACATGAGGCCAGAAGCCCAGCCCGAGGTCTGACCACCTCCCTGCTTCCACCCACACAGCCTTGTGCCAGCTGCCAACTTCTTTTAGTCTCTACTGCCCATCTGGAAACGGTGGGAGGAAGCAGGCCTTCAGTTCTGTTTAAAGCACTTTGCACAGAATGGCTGCAGTCCCTTAGTGTGACCCACTGCCAGAGAGGAGGCCAGAGAGGAGAGCGAGCCCAGGTCCCCTCACTGAATCTACCTGTCAGCCACTGTCACATAGCTGACCCCCGAACAAGAGAACTTCCACTTCTGGAATTCTCTTTCCCAATTTTAGGCCCTCTAACCAAACTTTAAAATTTAAACATGTAACATTACTGTCTTATACTGACCCAAACATGTCGGGGGGTATTAAGCCCTGAGGTGAGCTAAAATCTTTAAGAAAGAGCCAAACCCATGAGCCATTTAAAATAAGAAGAGGCTGTGTGTGTGTGTGTGTGTGTGTGTGTGTGTGTGTGTGTGTGTGTCTGTGTGTGCTTAGCATGCACCAGGCTCTGGGTTTATCCCAGCACCTCTTATGGATACACAAACAAATACAATGTAAGTAGCTTCTGCATGCTTTTGAGAATGGAATCTGAGCACGGCACGCGGGCCAGTCTGACTGCTCTGGCCCCCAGGGTGACAGGTGAAATTACCTTGAGAGACAATGAGCCCGTTTCTTTGTTCAGTGACAGGTCGGCAGACAGAGAGGTGCCATAGTCCATGCTCTCCGAGGTAGACAGGCTGCTGCAGTCTGAAGCCCTCTTAACATGGCTTGGAGCTCCAGAGCTGGGGAGCCCCAGGCCACCATTGGTCAGCTTCTCTCCACCCAAGGTCTCCAGGGCGCTGCTGTTAGGGCGGCTGTGGCCTGCCTTTTGGGACTTGCTAGCCACAGGACTGGGGTCCTCAGCCTGGCCAGTGACTTGTTTCTCTTCGGCTACCTGAATTCCGGCATCCATGGACAATGGTCGGGACTTCCGGAGGGGAACAGGTACCTTGAAATCATCATCACTCTTGGGGACCACATCTGCAGGGCTGGTGGTTTGGAGGGATTCACCCTCTGAAGGCTGGCTACAGGGCCCGTTCACAGGCTCCTGAGGCTGACTGGGAGGCAGGGTGGCACAAGAATCCTGGGGAGGCTTGTCCGAGTTGAGGGTCGGCTCAGTTGCAGCAGCAGAGTCCTGAGTGTGGTTGACCAGGGGCTAGAAAAGAGTCAATGCTGAGCTGCTGGGGGGCCAGGAGCAGTCAGGCCCCACAGGTGACGGGCCATCGGAGCAGAGCAGGGACCCCTGAACCCAGTCTCCATCACTTTCCACAGCCTCTCTTCAACAGCCTGCCACTGGGGTGAGGACTCGCCTCCTCTCTCTAACTGTGACTTTACCTCATCCCTGCTCCCGTCCTATGAGGAAAACAGGCTGTGGCCAGCTGTAGGGAGGCCCAGCCAATTGTCACAGCGTGGGAAATACCCCTTTCTCACCTGAGGCCAGACCTCCCAATTTATCAACACACACACAGCAATCTGATTTTTTTTTCCCCGTGATAGGGTCTCAAGTAGCTCAGGCTGGCCTCAGACCTGCTGCGCAGCCGAGGATGACCATGAAGTCTGATCCTCCTGTCTGCATCTCCCAAGTGCTGAGATTACAGGTGTGCACTGCCACGCCAGTTTCATGTGGTGCTGAGATGGATCCCAGGGTTTCAGGCACATTCGGCCAGCATTCTACCAATTGAGCCACACACCCATTCAGTAATCTGAATTTTCACATAATTATCTGCTGATTTCTAGATGGCAACTAATTCACATTAAAAAAATTACATAAAGTGCCAATCAATCCTACCCAGGAGCTGGATTCAGTCCACTCACCCCTTGTATTTTAGTTTTTGTGAAGTGGAAAGTACTAGAAACATTGCTATGATGAAACCACATACTCATTTCTGTGACTAGAAAGTAAATGTCTACATGCAGAATGAATGTGGAAAGGAGGCCATAGGGGGACAACCCGCAGAGGGAGAGGGGCCAGGGACATCTTCTTTCTGAAGGGGAACCAAAAACAGATCTTTATTTAAAATTTTTTACAGTGAAGCCTAATTCTAATTAAAATTTTTAAAATTCAAAATAAAAAGATCCAGGCACAATGGCGCACACCTTTAATCTCAGCACTCAGGAGGCAGAGGGAGGCAGGTCTCTGTGAGTTCCAGGCCAGCCTGGTCTACATAGTGAGTTCCAGGACAGCTAAGGCTACACATAAGACCTTGTCTCAAAATCCAAAAATAAATAAAAAGACAATAAATGTGAAGGGCCTGGGGGTTCAGCTCCATGACCACTCAGCCCTGAGTTACTGGGAACCCTCTAAGATGAGCAATTCCCCAGGAGAAGCTCCTGGGTTGAACTGTGAGACCAGGAACCCTAGGACAGCTCTAGACCATGCATGCTCGAGAACCTGGATCTGGCCAACAGCTGCTTAGCCTCACCCTGGGCATGGGTGTCTGGGGCTCCCAGCCAGTTGGCCCCAAGAGGCAGAAAGGAATCCTTCCCCAGCTTCCCTCCCAGAGGTGTCTGGGGCCCACCCTCCTCGTCTCCAAGACTTACCAAGGTGGCATCCACAGCATCCTCCTCCTCTCCGTCATCCTTGCCGTCATCCTTGCCGTCATCCCTGGCATCCTCGATCTCCTCCATCACCTCGGCCTTTGCCTCAGCCACCAGCTCCCGAAGAGCCTTGTTGCTGGTGATGGTGCTGACGAAGGGGTGCTGAGGAGAAGACACAGCTGTGTTAGGACCGTTTGGAAGCTGTTACGGGGTAGGGGTAGCCGCAGGATTTGAACCTCGAGCACAGAGGGCCCGCTGTGGTCCAAGGCAACTCAAGGACTTGAAGTTGGTAAGGGGAACTCAGGAACCCCGTGGCAGATCAGAAAGCCCAACATGTAGAGGGAAGAGCAACCCCCAAGTCTGTGACTCAAGCTGTGTGACCCCAAGCACGCCATCCCTCCTCTCTGAGCCACAGTCTCTTCATTTCCAAAGGACAGACGGCCATGCTGAAACCATGGGGAGTCCTAAAGATGAAATGAGACAGCTCACTTCAGAGTGCCTTGTCCAGCCCGTGTTTTTTTTTTTTTTTTTTTTTGGTTTTTCGAGACAGGGTTTCTCTGTGTAGCTTTGCGCCTTTCCTGGAACTCGCTTTGGAGACCAGGCTGGCCTCGAACTCACAGAGATCCGCCTGGCTCTGCCTCCCGAGTGCTGGGATTAAAGGCATGCGCCACCACCGCCCGGCCCATGTGTTTTTATGGGGTGGTGGTGCCATTTGTGCATGCGTGCGTGCGTGCATATGTGTGTGTGTGTGTGTGTGTGTGTGTGTGTGTGTGTGTGTGTGTGTGTGTGTGTATTAATGCCGAATGCCATTTATTGAAGGAGGTCTTAAATACAGGTTTACAGCACAATGGGAGAACCCCAGAGGGCAGAAGTTCGCTACCGATGTTTTACAATCTTGCATCTAAGCTGTTAACGCCCATTATGCAGGATACACAGACCCATGCTTCTCTGCTAGCCCTCACCCATTCAGCTGTTTCATTCCCTCCGGTTCTCTTCCTTTAGAGAACCCTGACAAATATAGACTAAATATGGTTTGCATTCTGAAATGGCCAGAAATCTATGGGGGCCAGGGAATGGAATGTGGCAGTTTGAGAATGGCCCCCATAGGCTCATATGTTTGAATACCTGGCCCCCAGTTGGTGGAACTGTTTGGGAAGGATTAGGAGGTGTGGTCTTGTTGGGGAGGGTGTGTCACTGGGGCTTTGGAGTTTCAAAGGACCTGTGCCATTCCCAGTGTTATTCTCGCTGCTTCATGCTTGAGGGTCAAGACATGAACTCTCAGCTACTGCTCCAGCATCATGTCCACCAGCACAGTGCCATGCTCCCCGCCACGATGGTCATGGACTCTAACCCTCTGAAACTGTAAGCCCCCAACAAACTCATTCTCCTATAAGTTGCCTTGGCCATGGTGTCTTATCACATAGAATAACAACTAAGGTATCTTCCCACACCCAGCTACACCATGTACCTACAAAGTCACCTCAAGGACAGAATTCTGCGAATAAGGAGTAAGCACAACCTGGCCCTGAACTAGTTGCTAACTTTAAGTTGCTTCACATTGTATGGGCCACTACCATTAGGGTCTTGGGTATGTGTCTCTCACAGTCACATGACTCCGTCTAAGCAGATATTATCTTCCTGCTTAATAAGTTTGCTAAACTTTGTTTCACTTTGACTTATCTTAATTTTTTTTCTTTTGAAATAGGTTTTTATGTAGCCGAGGCTGGTCTCAAGCACCCTATGTAGTCAAGGATGATTTTGAACTTCTGATCCTTCTGCCTCCACCTCCCTAGTGCCAGGATCACAGGCAGGCACCAATATACTCAGTTTATACAACGCCAGGGGCTGAACCCAGGGCTTTGCACACACCAGGTTAGTATTCTACCAACTGACCTATACCCCTAGTCCCCAAGACTCTATCCTGCCTGTGACAGATGTGAGGATCCATCCACTGCCCTGAGCAGAGGTCCTGAGGCTCAGCTCACGGCCGGGTCACATACTTGGGTGCTGGGCACAGACGCTAAACGACTCCATGCTACTTCGTGTCTCCAGGGCACTGGGCCGCTGGAGGACCACGTTAACCCTCCTGCTGCTGCTGGACAGGGGGCGGTGTGTCCAGCTCTGGGCGACGCTGAAGTAAGCAGCTAGCGACAGTCTTGCCTCTGCTGTCTCTGGGCGGAAATATGTGTTTGGTTTCAGAAGGGCAATGCAGAGACTTGTGGCAGCAGTCCATACTCTACTGTAGACTTTTATACAAATGGCACTTCTCAAACGTGGGTGCTCCCTTATAGACCTTGTAAAGCCCCAAGGCAGAAGATCTGGGGATGTTTGGTCAGCCTGAAGCACCCTGGAGAAGCACCCGTGGAGACATCATGTGCAGATTATCTCCTCTCTGGCACAGGGAGTGGTCAGATTCCTCAGCTCCTTCGTCACGATGGGCAGAGAGAAAGGAATGCCAAGGGTTTAGGGGCCTCATTGGGTTGGAATTTGCTCATCTGGGGTTTGTAGGAAGGCTCTGATGAAACCCAGAGGACTCCAGTTCAATTCCCAAGCACCCACATGGCAGTTCACAACCTTCTCTAACTCTAGTTCCTGGGGATCTGGCGCCCTCCTCTGGCCTCCATGAGCACTGCACACATGTAGTACACAGACACACACGCAGGCAAAACACCCATGCACATAAGTAAAAATAAATAAAACGTTTTTAAAAACATATTTAGAATTGGCAAATTCATGAACAGTCATTCCTACTGTCTGGACATTTAAAATGCTCCTGGGGCTGGTGAGATGCTCAGTAGGTAAAGGCACTGACATGCATGCCTGACGACCTAACTTTGACCCCCACAGATGATGAGAGGAAAGAACTGACTCCCACAAGCTGTCCTCCCGCCTCCACACTCTGCCACGGCGCAAGCAGGCCTTGCCCAATACACACAGAAAATCACAATGAGTACAAGTTTCCCTGGGGTCTGGGATAGAGCAGCAGCGGAGCGCTGGTCTACCACATGTGAGCCCCTGAGCTCCACCCCAACACATAAAAATCAGCAAGGCAGTTTACTGGTGGACAGTCAGCAGGCCGCTCCCTACTCAGCTTGTCCCCCTGAGAGCTACAAATGCCACTTCTTTAATGAGCTGCGTCCGCCACATTTGCTTAGGCCAGTCTGACCTCGGTTCATCTAATCTGGTGGAGCTGCTTCTCTGCGAAGCTCCGCAGCGACTCCAAGGAGGTGACCTCACGTGCCAGGGCCTGATCGGGCCTTTCACCAAAGGAGTCAGAAGGCTCATGGCAGAATGATAGTCAGGAGGCTGGTGGAAGCTTCCTATGTCTTTTGGGGGCCTTTCTGAGAGGGGGAGTGTCACATTCAAGCTGGGACCCAAGGGACCTGTGGGGGAAAGTGAGGGAAAACCCCAGGTACAGAGCACTGGGCAAAGGTATGGCCTCCAAAGACCCTGAGGTAGCTCGGGCTCAGAGGGTGGAGGAAGAGCTGGAGGGCCTCCAGCTGGCCTGGGAGACGGACAAAGGGAGCCCAGAGGGAGTCAGGGCCGCTTGCATGGCCCGGGGCAGTGGGAAGCCGTCAGCCTCGGTTTATTCTCAGCTCTGCTGCCCGGAAGCATGTCACTCTGGCTGCCGCATGCTTCCAGAGGCCCTGAGTGGGCTCTTCATAGAGCTGACCAACAGCTCACCAGGATGTGCAGGGTCACGTGTGCTGACTAAGCGACCGAGCCAAGCCACCTGGGTAAAATCCGGCTCCCACTGCCAACACGGACAGGTCAAGAGACCCTCTCTGTGCCTCAGTTTGCTCATCTGTGGAGTGGGGATAATAGTATCGGCTGTTCTATATACTATAGTGAGTGTTCAAAACAGCATAGCTCTTCTCATCACTAGGACCACCACCACCACTATCACCATCACCATTATCACCATCACTACCACCATTACCATGACTGCAACCACCACCATCACTACCACCATAACCTCACCACCATCACCACCATCATCATCATCACCATCATCACCACCACCATCATCACCATCACCACCATCATCATCATCACCATCATCACCATCATCACCACCATCATCACTGCCATTGCTCTCAGAACCACCAAAGCCACCAGCACCAGCACCATCACCACAGCGGGTCCAGGAGAACAACCCATGCAGCCTCTTCTTACCACTAACCCTTCCTCTACCAGAGCACAGTTCTCTGGGAATGAGGAGAAGCTCCAGAATCCCCAAAACGTCTGAGCTCTGTCACACATGCGGTGAGCAGGGACACCACAGGGCACCGCACCACAGCAGCTAAAGCAGATGTGGCAGAGACCAGCACAGGCCCGGCCTTCTGAGGGCACAGGGCTTTCACCAGGGCACCCCACACACTGACCAAATTAGCAGCTCCTGAGCAGAGCCATCTGCTCTGCCGGCCTGGAGCTCCAGATCCCTAGGAAGGGTGGGGAGGGAGGACAGCCTTTCACGGCGGGCCAGTTAAACAGGGCAGCTCCCTGCAGGGGGCCCAGGGCAGGCGGCCGGTGTGTGGGCAGCACTGCCAAGGCAGACTGGGCCTTGGTGTGTGTCAAAACTCTGAGACACACGTAACAGGCAGTGTGGCCTGCGCTGCATCCGCCCATCACCTCTAGATGTGGGTGTGGAGAAGCCTTTCTGTCTGACTCCAACGCTGAGGCCCTCCAGGAGCTGGACCTGAGAACCTCCCAGGGTGGCACACAACACTGCATGTGCTGCACCAGGCAGGCTGGTCCAGGCATTCATGCCCCCGCGGAAGGGCAGATCAGAGCTGGCCTCATTGTCTACCCCTCCAGGAAGAGGGATGACTACTCAGAGCCAGCTCTGCGGAGGGCTTCAGGCCGCCAGCACGGAGGTGGCAGCCTACAGCATGCCAGCTGGCACCTCTCTTTGGCCAGGATCTCTGCTGCCACTGAAACAGATGCCCTTCCCAAGTGAGCCTGTTTTCTTTGCATGCACTTAGAAACCACTGATGTGTGTGTGTGTGGAGAGAGAGACAGAGACAGAGACAGAGAAAGAAAGAGAGAGAGAGAGAGAGATGAATGTATGTCGTCCCCCCCCCCCCCCCCCGGCCTGCACCCTTTCTCTCTGTTTCTTTTTTAACCTTTATTTTCATTTTATGTGTACCGGTTATCATTACTTGTGCATTATGTGCACCATGTGCATGCAGTGATTGTGAAGGCCAGAAGAGGGCGACAGATCCCGTGGAACTGAAACGATACCTTTGTCAACTGCTACATGGGTGCTGCGAATTGGCCTGGGTTCTATGGACAAGCAGCCAGTGCTCTTAATCAGCACCGAGCCATCTCTCCAGCCATTCTTTGGGCCTTTTTCCTCTCCTTTACCCATTAGAAGCAGCTTTCCCAGAGTGGTCAAGAGCACCAACTTCAGAGCCAAGTCACCAGGACACTAGCTGTCACTTAACAGCTGCATGACCTTGTGTAGGCTCCTTACCTGTCCGATGGAGCATGTTCAGCTCCTACTACACAAAGCTGTTGTGGGCACTGCCCTAGTTAACATCTGCTAAGCATCTGGAACAGCAGGTGACATGGAGAAAGTGTCTGAGACTTACTGATCGGGTACACATTAAGTTGACTTTCATAGCAAATCCGTGCTGAGGCTCTCAACATGCCAGGCACCGCTCTGGGGATATGTCTGTGAGCCAGGCTGGTGTCCTCAGAGAGTCAACAACTCTTGCCAGGGTTTGAGTCTAGAAGGTTCCTCACGGGTTCACGTTCTGAATACTTGGTCCCCCGCTCTGTGGTGTTGTTATGAAAGCTGTGGGACCTTTAGAGGTGCAGTCTGGCTGGCAGCAGGTCACTAGAGGTATTCCTTGAAAGGTCACGGCCACCCGTTGATGGTGGCATTCTCTCACTGCTACTGCCTTGCAAACAGCTCCCTATGGCCAAGACCAGAGGCCCCTCTAGGTGCCAGACCTTACCCACCCTGGTGGTCTGAGACCCTCTACAACCAGGGACCAGAACAAATCCTTCCTCTACGCTGCCTTCAGCTGGCACGTTGTCTCTGTAACGAGAAGGGCAGGTATGAGCCATGCTAACCGAGGGGCTGTGTTTAGGGGGAAGGGCGCGAATCCTGTTCACAAGGTCCCTCTGAGAACAGACTCTGAAGTGGCGAGACAACCGGTGAGGAAGCCATGGACTGAGTGAAGGGCAAGGCAGTTCTGACAGTGGCCCATGGACGAGGTGGGCTCTGGGCCTGTTCTAAAGGCAGAGGGAATAGCATCCATGACGGGAGATGTGGAGAATGAGAGAGAGTGCCAGGCTGCCAGGGTGGCAATGGACAACCACTGTGGAGTGTGCCAGAGGAGGCGTCTGAGGGCTCTGTGTGGCTGTGGCAAGGCTGAAGTGGCTCTGGGCAGCCGAAGATCCAGGGTCAAAGGTCTGGGGCCGGGGGTGAATTAGCTGGAGGCGCAAAGCCAGGGCGCTCCCCCCCCCCCCCCCCCGGCAGGCTGGCTTTGATCCTACAGCAAGTTGAGGGGAGCAGAAATCCCCAGTGCTTACCACGTTCATCAGTTGTGTGAGGCGGGTAAGTGAAGGAGGCAGACAGAGAGTGAGCAGTGGGAGGGGACGGGCAGGAGCCAGCCAGGGTGGGCTGACGGGAGCGACAAGGACTGAGCTCACGGTCACCTCCGAAGCCATGGAAACTGCTGCCACATGATGGTGGCTGAGTGTCAGAACAACGTGAGCAAGGGGAATGTTTTCTCACGGTGAAAACGTGGCACACAAATCCTCACTGGCTAGCCATCTGACCAAGGGAGAAACTGAGGCACAGAGAGAACTCCTCGCACACCCGGTTGGAGGTGCCTAATTTCAGAGCTGGGCTAACAGCAGCAGCAGGACACCGGCCCAGGGACATGGGTGCAGATGAATGACTGGCTGAGACATCAGTCCCTGGAAGCAGGAGTATCTTAGCTATGTGGGGCACAATAGGACAGAGTAACAGTCCCCCAGAAGCCACAGACCCAGGGCCAAGGTACCCACAGCCAAGACCTGCACCAGTGCTGGCACTTTGACCAGGTGACCTCACAAGGGACTGCTCCTTGGAGCCCAATGTCCTCGGGTCTGGTAGCTCAGTGTGTTCTTCCGACCATATACTGAAACAGGTGCCAGGGAATTCCCAGCAGGTCTGAGGGCACCTGGGTAAACTGAGGTAGAGCTCCTCTCCTCTGCCCTGTGCTCTCTTCCACTACACACCAAGAATCCCCTGGCAAACACTGCTTCGGCTAGGAAGTGGAACTTCCTGGCTCCAGCGAAGGCTCCAGGCTGCCATGTGGGATGGGACAGCTGGTCTCTGCCCTGACGATGTCAGGCCGGCCGGATGCCCCAGCACAGGAGGTGCTGTTTACAGGAAGCAACTGGCCCCAAGTGGCCTGGAGCCTTTGCACCTTGACTATATGTCCTGTCACCCTCCACCACCCTTCAAGGGTCCACTCACCTCCAGCAGTTGCGCAGCGCTGGGCCGGGTCTCTGGGTTCTTATCCAACGCTATCTTCAGAAAGTCTCGGAACTCCACGGACCTGGGAGGACAGGTGTAAGGAGTGGGCCACAACACAGTCACCATGCGCCCAGGATCGGGTGTTTCCCCAAAACAACACTCCAAGAACAAAGGGGCCTCCGTTGCCTAAAAGTGGAGACAGGATCTACATGACATCCTTCTTATCATGGATATCATTGTCCAGACCAGGACACAGACATCAAAGAGACTGAACCCAAGTTCCCATTCCCAGCCCTGAGCCATGTGGCCGCTGGGGCCCCGTTTAGGTTCTCCGTGTCCTGGGACAAAATGGGATCTCATACTGGCTAAGCGGCCTTATTCTCAAGTTCAGGTGGGCAGTGCAGAAAGGCCTGGGGGTGCTCCACTCCCCACCCCAGCGCTGACATCCCTCTGATTTTGGAGTCAGATACCGTGCACGCGCACACACACACCCCAGTGCCGTGTGCCTCATGTCCCCGTGGAGTGCGTCCAGCTAAGTGCCCAGCTGTCCTCTCTCCTTACCACTTGGAGGGCGTGAGCAGTGTGGGAGGGTCTGACTTGGCGATCTTGAGCAGGACCCGCATGGGGTTGAGCTCGTGGTGTGGCGGCTCGATCTGCGCCATCTCGATCAGCGTGATGCCCAAGGACCAGATGTCAGCCTTGTAGTCATAGGGGGCGTCCTTCATGGTCTCACAGAGCACCACCTCAGGGGCCATCCTGAGCCAACCAAGGAACAATAAGGGCTAAGAATTGGGCCCCTGCGAGTGCTGCTTGTAGCCTCGGGGTCTGGAACACCACCAGCTCCACATTGGAGGTTGGCAGCATTTGAAGCCATGATTTGAATTACTGGCATCCATTTCTTCCTCCAGGGTCTTCACCAGCCCCTGCCACGGCCTGATGCAGTTCCTGGAACCTACCACAAGGTGGCAGCAGCAATCCAGAACAGAGTCCTGGGGAAGGGGCAGGTGGGTGAGGGCAGAGGGGGAGGTTCCAGCAAAAAAACCAAAGTGGGCCTTGGGGTAGACCGAATAGGACAGCACCAAGAGAAAGGGGGATGGGGGAGAAGAGAAAGGAATAACGGGTGGGGTGGGAGAGAAAGAGTTAAGAGTAATAAGCAAGCAAGGAAGGGGCTGAGCACCACGGTGAGTTGTAAAAACAGGACACAGAGCAATCAGATGTGAAATCGAGTAAGAGAGCTGTGGGCTGGGGTGATGCCCACATGTGTGCACGTGTGGAGAGTGGGTGCCCAGCGCCACATGTCTGCAGACTGAGGCAAAGCAAGGCCTCAGGGGTCTTCTTCCACCAGAGAGCTTTCTTTTCATAGGTGTTTGTAAGTCACAGTTTTGAAAAAGGAACCACAACAGTCCAGAGAGGCCCGGGAAGATTTCTCTGAGGACAGGAAGTGAATTTACATTGTTCTTCTACCACGCCCCCCTCCAGCACCGGGAGCTCAGTACATGTGTTAATCAAACCAAGAACTGGAGCCCTTCTTAGGGGCTCAGTTTAGTTTATTAATGGGGTGCTTTCCACTGTAACCCCAACGTACAGATGAGGTACGAGGAAGGTAAGCAACTCGTCCTATGCAGAGAAGTGGAGGCTGGACCCACACTGACTGGGGGCCCTGAACTGGCACCCTGCCTCCCCCACACAATCCACCCAGAGGTAACCATGCGGTTAGGCTTGATAACCTGTCAATCAGTTCCTCAGAGGCCTCGCAACTCACCAGTAAGGCGTTCCTATGAAGGAATCTCGCTTTTGCAGAGTTTTCAGATTCTTGGCAGACACACCAAAGTCAGCTGCAAGACAGAAACCTCAGATAAAAGAGCTGAGGGCCTCCTCTCTACCCAGGGCCTAGGTGTGGACTCGAGGATGCTCGTGGCGTTTTCTATCCAACAAACACGGGTTTTAAAATTAAAGTGAGCTTGCTGCTCAGACGGGCACTTTGTCACCACTGGGAGTATGGACTGGCCAGACCCTTCCACGAGAGCAATTTGACAGTAAGTCACAAGAGCCTTTTACAAAGCCAGATTCAGGTGGGGCAGTGGTGACGCACGGCTTTAATCCTAGCACTCCAGCCTGGTCCCAGGATAGCCAGAGCTACACAGTGAGACCTTCTCTCTCTCTCTCTCTCTCTCTCTCTCTCTCTCTCTCTCTCTCTCTCTCTCTCTCTCTCTCTCACCAGACTCATTTGATCCAATGAAATAACACTAAATGCAAACAATTACAATATTCATCAGTGTGCCATTCAATCTCACACACGTCTGTAGCCAGACTTATGAAGCTATCATTTAAAAAAAAAAACGAACAAACTAACATTTTTAAAAAGGTATTATCTGTAATGCCTTAGACTTTCCTTTTTTCCTTTCTTTTTGGTTTTTCAAGACAAGGTTTCTCTGTGTGGCCCTGGGTGTCCTGGAACTCACTCTGTAGACCAGGCTCAACTCAGAGATCTGACTGCCCGTTCCTCCCGAGTGCTGGGATTAAAGGCGTGCACCACCACCGCTTGATTTTGGGTTTGTTTTTTCCTTAGCTTTTCAAGAAAGATTTTCACACACACACACACACACACACACACACACACACACACACACACACACACACGGTAAGGCAGGAAGTTGAGAGGTAAACCAGGCCAGCGGTGCTGAGTGCTTGTAATCCCAGCACTTGGGAGACAAGCAGGGGGTTGAGAGTTGGAGAACAGCCTGAGCTACAGGCAAGACTCTGAACAACGACTCTACCACTCTCAGCAGAGCTACAAAAGTCCTTGCCTAGCATGTGCAGCACTGTGGATCTGTTCCCCAGCACAGCGATTTTAAATATCATGAAGAACTCTTCACATAAAGTATTTTATTTATGTACTTATCAATATGTGTTTAATATTATCAGGTTAATGGAGAAGAGGAGGCTACACACTCGTCCACGCTGCGTGGTCACAACTGTGTCCACCCCGTAAGAGCAAACACACACACTGAACCACCTTGGAGGAAACATGACAGACTGCTTCACTGGGGCAGGGCGGTTAGACTGGACGTGGCATCTCCCACTTTCAGGATTATGAAACTTTGCTATGATAAATACATACGGTTTTCAGGACCAAGAAAAATACATCAGTAAGATTTATCTTTAAACACACCCAATACATCAGCATGCCTTTCCACACCCAGGATGCAGAGAAGAATCTCTGAGGGGAAATGTCTCCCAGGCACCTGCCTTGGAGGCCACATCTCCTGGTAGCCAAGCAGCATTCTGGAGATGGTGCTCAGCTGCAAGACGACAGTGACTTATCCCAAGGACTCCACGGAGCTCCCATCGGACTCACAACTTCAAACCAGAGGGGAGGCAGGCACAGAGTGGGTGCCGGTTCCTCTTGGGCTCATTCAAGATTCCCCAGGCACCATCAGGAGCCAGCCCGGCTGGACACAGAGACACAGGGACACAGAGGCAAACCCAGCCCCGGCCTTCTATACCCAGCTCAGGGAAACAGAGAGCAACCAACCAACAGAAGCTTCTTCAGCTGAAGGGAGGGAGGCTGTGGAGGGGTGGGGGACATAGGAGTGTAGTAGCGGTGTGACCTGGGAAGCAGTCAGGGAGGGAACGAAGGAAGGGTCACCTGGAGGAGGACCAGGCAAGGACCCGAGGCACCCATTCATTTAAGACCAGCATGTAAGAGCATCCTAATGTGCCAGGTGCCAGGTGAGATGGCCTTCCTGCCAGGCCAGCAACCTGTCACTCTAGTGTGACACATTCAACCAATCTGGTGGGAATCCTGGGAGCACAATTGGAGGACAGTATTCTGTGGGGCAGGATTAGAGAGGACACCAGTGAAGGCAGGACTGGGGTAGGACTCCTGGGGCAACAGTTGGGGGGCAGGATTCTCGAGGGCCAGGATTGGGGAAGTAAGATTCCAGGGCTGATGAGTCAAGGCAAAGGACCGAGTACTGGGGCCATTGGGGACAGTTGGTCAAGATCTGAGGGAGACATTTCTGAGGCAGGACCAAAAGGCAAGGGAAATTCCAGGGACATGAGCAGAGGGAGAAGAGCCCTTCCGAACCGTCTAGTGGGAATCCCTCACCAGCAGCTGAACAGGAACATTCCGGCACAGCTAACTAACCAGTCAAGGTCTTCCTCCCTTTCCAACATAAACAATCAGTTTTCTAGGAATCTCACCAGAAGGCACATTTATGGGAAAAGGACACACACCAAAACCCTGGTATAGCCTTGGTGGCGCCTCATTTCACCTATCCAGTTCTGTTCCCACCCAAAGAATCTCCAGAGCTACCCCGTGCTGGTGAGTGTTATGTTAATTTGACACAGCTAGAGTCAGCTTGGAAAGAGGGCCCCAAGTGAAAAATGCCTCCATTGGATTGCCTGTAGGGAAGTCTGCAGGGCATTTTAAAATTAATATTAATGACTGATGTGGGTAGGCCTAGCCCAGGGATAGGGAAGGATTGCTATTCCTCTCTTCTCGGGGTATCAGTCACCCCTAGGCTGGTGGTCTGTAAGAAAGGAGACTGAGCAAGCCATGATGAGTAAGCCAGGGAGCAGCACCCCTCCATGGCCCCTGTATCAGTTCCTGCCTCCAGGCTCCTGCCCTGACTTCCCTGGATGATGGACTACAAGCCGTAAGATGAAATCAACGCTCTCCTCCTCAGGTTGCTCTTGGTCATGGTGTGTCATCACAGCAGTAGAACTCTGACTAAGACACACCACACGATCTCTCTTATCAAGAAAGAGAAGGAAATTCTTTTTCCTTAGCAACCTTTTGAGGTGTGATTTCAGTCACCAAGGGGCAAATACTGTCAATTCTAAGCCAGTTAATAATTGCTTACTCTTCCTTGAGGAGCCAGGCCTACTCTTGGGTATGTCTTACTTAAGGGGAGAAGCCCACAACCACACTCCCACACTCCAGGGTGTGTCTTACTTTCTTCTTAAAACGTGTGTGTGTGTGTCTGTGTGTGTCTGTGTGTGTGTCTCTGTGTGTGTGTGTGTGCGCGTGTGTCTGTGAGAGCTCTCAAACGCTCTACATGTAGAGGTCAGAGGGCAACTTGTGAGAGTCAGTTCCCTTCTTCCGCCACACGAATTCCAGAAATGGAACTCCGGTCGTCAGGCTGGCAGCACGCACGCACCCTTACCCACTGAGCATTTCCTCCTCTGTTGCCTCTCACGCCAACACCACTCCAAGCGATCTTTATGAAATCACAAACTCTGCCATATAAATGGACTATTCCTGAAATTCTTCTCATCACTGAAGCCACGAACCTGTTTGTCCTGAGTCAAGGTCCCCAAAGGTCTAGGGGACTCTCCGGGCTATACAGAGGGTAGGGTATGGAGCTGTCTGTCCCCTTACCACTCAGGTTTTCCAGGCCCAAGAAACATGCAGAAGCTGGTGGGGGGTGAAATAAGCTAAGTAGAGGGCCATGGGGGACAGGATAGTGCCCCCCCCATGACACAGGGGTGCTAACCCTTGATCCTTTAGAGCTCATTTGGGAGCTGTCCTGAGGATTAAATTGAGACATTTGCGAAGTGACTGCTCACCCCAAGTCATCATGACGGCTCCATACAGGAGCCCAAGGAAAGGTCCACCCTGAGAACCTGAGGCCTCGAAAGGCCGAGATGAACAAGCTTCTCCTGAGTGGCCATGAAGCAGCTCTCTGCCTGGGCAGTGCAGACTGGCAGCATTACATGCGCGCTCTCTCTGTCTCTCTGTCTCTCTGTCTCTGTCTCTCTCTGTCTCTGTCTCTCTCTGTCTCTCTGTCTCTGTCTCTCTCTCTCTCTGTTGACCTGAGAGAGGGGTCTGTAGGTTATCTCCTGCCACGCAGGACCAGGGCTGCTAAGAGTGAGGTTCAGACACAGGCGAAGCCCCAGCCTGCTTGGAGAGTGGTCCCTCAAGGGCCCCTCAAGAATGTGGATTGGGCTTTCCTTCCTGCTGGGTCAGCCTGGGTACCCGTGAACCTGTTTGCCCACAAACGCTCCTTGGAGTGAAACTTCCAGAAACTAGCCATCAAGACTCCCACCCCATCCCCCTGAGCCTTGCCACACCTTCTTCAAGACAGAAGGGGAAATGGGAAACCACCCACTTCCACAATGACAAGCTGGCCCCAGGACCGCCCGGAAGCAGGCACCAAGTCAGCCTTGGAGTAGCAGTTACTTCTTCCTCTTCACAAAGAGGGGCCTAGTGTGTGTGTGTGGGGGGGGGGGGGGGTCCTAGAGCCAGGACCTCAGGCTTTTCCTGGACTAGACACTGATGGGGGGTGACTTGGATGGAGTTCATGAGGGAATCCCCTGAGGGGGTCGGGGGCCATCTTGGGTTAAGTCAAAGGCGTTTTGACTAGCCTCTTCTCATAAAAGCACGATTCTCTCTCCATTTTTGAATGCGTTAGAAACAAGGCAGGAGGGTCACAGACTCCCTGATCGACTCTTCAGGGACTCTGCCCTGACCACACATCTGGAGCAGGAAACCCAACAGGTTTACTGAGGGAACATTCTCACAGTCGCAGCTAAGGGAGCACAGCTAGGGGAGCACACAGCTAAGGGAGCACAGTCACAGCTATGGGAGCACAGTCACAGCTATGGGAGCACAGTCACAGCTAAGGGAACACAGTCACAGCTAAGGGAGCACAGTCACAGCTATGGGAGCACAGTCACAGCTAGGGGAAAACAGTCACAGCTAAGGGAGCACAGTCACAGCTAGGGGAGCACAGTCACAGCTAGGGGAGCACAGTCACAGCTAGGGGAGCACAGTCACAGCTAGGGGAGCACAGTCACAGCTAGGGGAGCACAGTCACAGCTAGGGGAA